GAGGTTTCGAGCTTAGACAAGTCATGCAAATTGGAAACTGGTTCTATGGTGTTGGCGTATGGATATAAAGATTGGGCCCATCGAAATCGCTTGTTCTTCAATTTGTCTTCGAACTATGCGTCATCTGGACAATACAAATGGCTATTTTTGGTTGTTTACTTCGAAATTTATATAAGAGACACATTAACCCTATCATTACACATTGGGAACATTAACATTGGGAACATTAACCCTATCATTACACATTTGAGGATTACTTCCAGTTGAAAGGTTTCATTGCTCATGGAATGTTTTCTAATATTTTTGGAATATTCAAAATATTTCCGGAGATTCGGACATGAGTCCTTTTGCCGGAATTTCAATTGGTAAGAAGGGTCAGTTCTCACCATAGGTGGATTAATTCGGTTGTTCATTTTCAATTTTATCATGGTGAAACCTTCTACAAAGATGTAGATAACGTAGTTTAAAGTAACTTTCCTGAAAAAAAACTAGTGGTAAAACTTATGGCTATTTTTCTATAGCAATTATACGTGGAAGTTGTCTTCTACAACTTTTTAATATGTACTCTGTAAGTAGCATATTTTGCTCGTTTGTTCATTTAATAAAAAAGTTACGATGAAATTTACTCCAAAAATAAAGCTACCCGTTGGTGAGGCTTCATCTCAATCGTCTAACCACCTACGTTTGAACTTGTTGTTCCAAAGAATTAGCACTTGAATTGGTAGGTCATTGAAATGCTTATCACATAACAGCTGCACCAGCATGACTCATCGATCCATCCAACCAACCAACCAACCAACCAACAACATTTTTGAGTCATCTCTTTTGGACACCCCAAGTCCGACGAGTGCTACATATGGCTAGAGTGTCTGGTATGTGGAAAACTACTACATCGCAATCAAATTTGTATACCTGGGCTACTGCTGCTGCGTTGATGGGTCTGAGTCTGATGTTAGTCGTCGTCGTCGCAGTCGCCATCCATCGTGAACACTTCCTGTGTACAATACCGCTCGGGTACAACGTTCAACACAACGGTGTATTGGAGTGTTGGTAAGCACGCGCCGTCAAACCACACACTCTCTCAAAACAGTCCCATCCGATGAAGAAAGGAGGAACAAACGACGACGTAACAACCCAAGTCAGAGTAGAGAGACGTCCAGACAGTTTGCACAGTAGTTGAACAGTATTCGGCCGAGTAAGTCGCGACGGAAGAAGCGTATTGATTAATCGCGGAATTCCAGTTCAGGAGAGAAAGTGTCAATTATTGAAAGCCAGAGAAGCAAAAGAGACTGTGGAACAATTTTGTGAACAATTTTCAGACGAATAGTTTTGATTCGTGCGAAATTGTGGAAGAAATAGAAAAGGTTGGTGTGTGTATCTTGTAATGGCGACGCAAGCGAGTGGTGAATTTTGCAACCGCGTGAGCGCAAGGCAACCTTCATGAAAGTGCAATAATTTAACTGTGCCATTGTTCATATAACCTGCTGTTCTGCGTGGAGCTGAATCGATAGACGGTGGCTCGTGGCTCGATTTTTTTTTTCGGTTAGGTCATAAGTGCATCGTTCCATTGAAGGCGACTCCGTTGAACTCCGACTACATGGTCTTTGTCGTCTGTCCTTGGAGTGAAGAGCCCTGTAGTGTGGGCGATAACATTGACCTTCCGTAGGTTCAGATCTTCGGGCTGTGGGTTGTTAGAGTGAAACAATTTCGACATTTTAATGCTGAACTCCACCCACAAAAATGATGGTTTAGGAATTCTTCTGCCTTATCGATATCTACGTGACATCCTTCTAGAAGAACCCACGCAAAGGGAAGCATGTGAAGTGTGCTGATTTACTTCTCCATTTTATGCGCTCGGATGGTGACGCTGTTCGACCGATAATGGGACCATGACGTCGCGCACGTCTGTTTGGCATTATTAAGGCGCAGATAGCGGATACGTAGTAAAAACCCTATGGCGATGGTTCTGATGACTGCTGCTGCTACTTCTTCTTGTTAGCAAACAGCGGAGGAAGAGAGATAGAGGAATCGGTTGTTGCGTTCTTTTCTTCTTCTTCTTCTCATTTCTACTCTGCATTTTTCATTTCGAATTCCTTTGGATGTTTACGCCAACAATCCTAGAGCAACATGTTAAAAGGACCTATGTGTCAAATGTAGACTACGGTCTCGGGTTTATTCCGATAAACCTGCAGTAGCATTTGACATAGGAAGTTTACGCTATCACATATGGTGTAGTTAGCTTCCGTGGGTGTGTTGTCATTCGTGAGCAATCAAGGTCATTGTTTACATTTGGCTCATGAGCCCTTTTCACATGTTGCACTGGAATTATCGACTGTTAAAATTAAAAGTGTTGGGTAAACAAACCAATACATATCAACTTGTCAACGATGATGGGAAAATCCATTTGCACTTGCACTGCTCTCTCAGCTGTGCGTTTTTTTGCATGGTGATGTGTTTGACCTCCCTCAAAAATAAAATTAAAGCGAAAACAAAACTTTTCCCTTAGTCAATATTGCCGTCAGCGTGATAATACACCCGAAATTGGCACACCGAGTCAGATCAGGTGATTCACTGGTGAAGGCATTATTGTGGTGATTCTGTTTTTTGTTTACTTCGAAGAATGGGGTGAATCAGGATTCGCTTGAGCTATTGCGAGCGAGAATTGGAATCACAGATTGATTGCGATAGTACACTTGAACAACAACAACAACAACAAGTTCATTAAAAGTAGGATGTATAACAACCAACAAGTCCTGATCTAAATCATGTCATAATATCAATTCAGCATTTCAGTGGTCGTCCCGATCCTTATGTTGAGTCAGAATTTTATCCAAATCAGCGCTAGGTAAACTCAAACACGGTCGTCGTTCCTGGTCACAGAAGTACTAGTTGTCGGTCCCCCCCTCATTAATTACTCAAATCGATCGATGAGGAGCGTCATGTTGTTTTCAAATCGAGTGGTCCTCCCGAACCACCACCAACCGAAAAACTTCAGTAGACTTGCCGTCAAAACTTCGTTGAACTATTTTCCAATGCTTCAGTTTCTGAAGAGATCCTATTCCAAGCATGGGGTGTTTTTTAAGTCACCGTGAATTTTGATGACCAATCAGAAGAAAAATATACTTTCGCTCCAAGAAAAAAAAAAGATTTTGGACCTTGAAAGACCTTTGATCTTTCCTGGATACAGTTACTTCAAAGAATTATTAAGAGAATTTTAGACATTTTTTCCAAGGAACTGAAATGTATTCCAGGGTTAACACCAAGGTATTTGAGAGAAGAATTCTAATAGAGCTAGCTAAGTTCAGAGTAGATTTTTTCAGTAGAATTCTCCACAGCCATGGCGATTGTGAAGAGGATTCCAGGATACATGAAAAATATCAAGAGAATCGAATTTTTAGAGTACAAATTCCATAGGAATTCTGAGAAGAGTTTTAAGGGAATTCCGAGGATAAGGGCATCTCGGAAATAATTTTTAGAGAATTTAAAGGAAAGCTAGTTTTCAGAAGAATTTAGAGAGCTCCAAGATGATTCTGAACAAGTTTTAAGACATTTGTGAGGTGAATTTGCATGGAAATTTTAAACAGATTACAAGCGAATTTTAAATAAAATTATGGGCGGAGGCTTCGGTGAATTCTTAGATAAAAAAAAACTTTTAAATTCGACGACAATCTTAGGATGAATTTCATGATTGTTTTTTATTATTCTGTAGAGAATTTTCGAACTGTTAAAAAGAAATGTTCAAGAGACTCCCAGAGAGAATCAAATTTATTTTAGATGAATTTAAAAAAAAAACTTAAAGAAAGAATTACTAATTGAATATAGCAAGACATAAGAAGATTTGGGGGAACGCCGTTTGGCTGGCTTAATAGTCATTTGGCATAATGAACGTTTGGCATCACTATATCAAAATTTATTCCAGATATAAAAAAAAACATAACTATAATAAAATACGCATTTCCCCCCACTACCGCATTTTATAAATAACTACACGGGAACTTCCGCCACAATGGCGTACTTTTAATAGAGAATTTCTCTTCAACAAAAATACATTGTTCTTTCGAGTTAAGGTTAAAGCTAGGTATCTAAATTGCAGATACTTCCTATTTTATCATGTTTGTCAGGTTGGATTATTGAACCGCATTAAAATTTAAACGTTTCCATTGTTTTATGCCAATCGTCCATTATCATAAATGACTACTATGACAAGCGGGGTAGCTCCGCTGTACACAAAAGTCGTCTTCTGCACTCCACTCGACCCATAGCTGCAGGTCACCAGCCTCGCCTCCGTACACTGAACGAAAACATTCACAATACTTCGAATGATTATTGCATTGTTCAAGCCCTTTAACAATATGCTTATGGATGTTTGATGATTGCCTCATGGTTGAAATTGGTCACCAGGTGATGGGAATTCATATGAATGTCATCCAAATAGAGGATGATATTTATTTGAAATTGGCACTTAATTTGATTTACCGAGATTTGAAGCCGTGCTCCCGGCAAACATATTTTGCCAAGATCTTATCAAAAGTGGCGTTTAGTTGCTAGTGAGTCTCGGAATATGGCTATGATCTCGGCAATAAATTGCCGAGCTGGCGAAAACAAAACAAAGTGCGTAAGTTTCAGCTATGTGGCTAAAATAGGAACTGTAAACCCAACAAACTTATATAAAATGTATGATGGTGATGATTCATAGCTTCAACTTAACTCAAGTATAAATAGAACAAGTATATAAATTACGTCAACTTCCATACTAATGTTTCTTCTTTTTTCTCCTTCTCCTTTTCAGAATTTGTGTCGGTCGTAATCAAAATCTCCGTTGAGAACTAAATTATCCCCGTTCGTTCGTTGCATAGTAAGTTTTTATTTTATTTTTTTTGCGGCTTCCGTACAGTAAAGGGAACAAGAAAAAACCCGCATAGCAAAGTACTAGTGCTCGTTCGCTGCGAGTAGACTACTCGTCTGGTGCCAATCACTAGCCGCAAAACACACTAGGCGCGCAAAACCCGCAAGTGCGTGTGGTGCACCTTTCCTCGGAAGCAGGAAATTCGGGTACTTGGGCCCGAAACCGCCGTTAGGATTCATCGTTCAACGTATCACCAGTCCTCCTCCTTCGAACCGGGTCTTAAGCAGCCACTGAAGGCCGCCCACCGCTATCCGCCAGCACTGGTTGACGTTTTTTCCGGCACCATTCCGGCAACCATAGAAAAGATAGCGGTTCCGTCGTCGGTCGGGTTGCGGAGTACATATCCTGCTGCTGGTCCGTTGCCAACCTCCAAGACGGAAGACCCCAGGCAAACGGGGACAGAGTCTCGTGCCACGGGGAGGGAAAACCATATCCCCCCCGCTAGCCGACGCTGGGTCCCTCCATCACTGAGACCGCAACATGGACTCACCGAAGAGGCCAGAATTGATTCGATCTTTCGAAAAGTACGCGGTATTCTGAACAAGCTAACCCCAGAAAAATTCCAAAAACTAAGTGATGACCTGCTGAAGCTAGATCTGAACTCGTCCAAGATACTGAACGGTGTTATCCTGCTGATATTCGACAAAGCCTTAGATGAACCCAAGTACTCGTCTATGTACGCGCAGCTGTGCAAGCGCATCGAGAAAGAACTAGAGATCGACATTGACAAAACTAAATCGAACACCTTCCTGCAAATTCTGCTGAACGTTTGTCGCGACAAGTTTGAGAACCGGGTACAGTATAGTGAGAAAATCATCAATTCGGAACTCGCCCTCACCGATGATCTGGAGGAAAAGAAGAATGTGGCCAAACAGAAGATATTGGGCAATGTTAAATTCATCGGCGAGCTGTACAAGCTCGACATGCTCGGCGAGCCACATCTGCACAAGATGTTGCGCTCGCTCATTACCAGCAAGTCCAGCGCGTCGTCGGAGAAAAACTGCGAGGACATGGAATGCTTGGCACAACTCATCAAGACCTGCGGAAAGAATCTGGATACAGAGCTGGGAAAACAGCTGATGGATCAATACTTTGACCGGATGGAACAGTATTCCCTGTCGAGCAAATATCCGCCCCGGATCCGGTTTCTGCTGCGCGATCTGATTGAACTGCGCAAGAACACCTGGACACCGCGGAAGGTGGCCCGCGTGGAAGGACCGGCTCCGATCCAGGAGCTCACCAACGAGGACGACCTGGTGCTGCGGCCGCCGTTCGGCATGCGGAGCCGCGACTATCGCAACCAGGGCGACCGGGGCAACGAGCGGGACTGGATCAGCAAGTTTTCGCTGAACCCGTTGAACTTCAACGATAGCTTCAACCTGCTGAGCGCATCGAGCCCGACGCCCATGATACCATCATCGTGAGTATACCTTCTATAATTTTTGCATAACTTTTCGAAAGGTTCTAAATAACACATCTAAACAAATCGAGTTTAAAGATACAGACAATCACTCTTCAATCATGCGGTATGCGGTAAGAAAACGCTCATCCAAATTTAATTTCAGTTATTTTGTACCATACAAGCACCATATTTAGCTGTTGAAAAAAATATTTCTTCTTGCAGTATTGTAGAGTACATTATTGTAGAGTACACACATCTAAGTACATGCTATAAAATATAATAGTATAAAATAAATTTGAATGCATAATTAAGAAAAAAGAAGACATTTAATAAAGTGACGCATTGTTCGATATTCTGAACGCTCGATGTTGAATCCCACTCGGGAAAGCCTTTTGCGGAAGCATTTTTTTCTGAGAGATTTATATGAAATACTCGTGCAGCATAAAGTCTTGACATAACAGTCGTTTGGCATAATACTTTTAAAATTGTACTTGTTGCTGTTAAGCGTAATCACCTTTTTTTTTCAAATCCATAATAATTTTGAAAATCCGTAACTTTACGACATTTCACGCAGTATACGACATTTAGTATTGATTCGATTATATTAATAAGCTTGTAATTAATCAATATTTCTCAGAATGGTCCATTTCCCGAAAAGCAATTTTCCTGAATACAGTGAACTCCCTACAACTGAGGCATTCCACGAAGGTTCGCAAATCGATCCTGACCGATCATTTCCAATTACGCTGAAACTTTGCACAGTTGTTCCTTTTTAGTAAAGGCGCCATTTTGTGCTGTCAGTTTTTCATATTGAATCACGACTACTTTTTGAAATGGGCCTGTGTAAAAATAGTACTAATGAGTTTAAAAATATATATTGCCGAAACGCTTTGTTCGATTGATTTGGTGACTTCAGCAAAGCTGTAGATATTATTTTGGCAATTGTGTAAAAAATATACAGTGTAAAAAATTTCGTTTGCTACTAACTGGCACAGTTTGGTGATGGTAAACTCAAAAACAAAAAAGTTATGGTTTTTTGAAAATTTCACGATTTTTACTTTTTTATGTTTTTTAACCGTGTATATTTTTTCAAGAATCGCATTTTAATTTTGCAAAACTTGCCTGAAGACACCACAGCAATCAAGCAAGCCGTCTTTGCAATATAGGTATGTTTATTTCATTAGTGTTTTTCTACACAGGCCCTATTGAAAAGTTAGGATTCATTACATCTGATACCATGAAAAGGTATCGTTACTAACAAAACTAAAAAATTCATTTGATGAATATTGAGCTAGAACTAAATAAAAGTGATATGATGTTCAAACTAGCGACCCTTACTGAAGGAGCAATTCCATTCAAATTGACGATATTTTAATTTTCTTTTTTATTCATTGTCTTCAATTTTGCATAATTGTATCAGTGATCTTAACGGTAAAAAGTCAAATACTCTGTTAACCATCACCAAACTTTGCCAATTTGTAGCAAACATTATGCACTTTTTGAGAAATTAACTTTTTTAATAACAAATATAATTTTTTTCATTGAAACAAACGAAATTTTTTAACATTATTGCCAAAATAATATCTACAACTTTGTTCAAGACACCAAATCAATCCAACAAACCGGTTCAGCAATATATATTTTTTAACTCATTAGTACTATTTTTACACAGGCCCTGTTAGAAAAGTAGTCGTGATTCAATTGGAAGAACTCGACAGTGAGCATGCATAAGGGCCTATACGCGATGATCGATTCTCTTCGTCGATTTTCTCTTTTGTTAATAACTCGCTAGATTTAACATTTCTCGGTGCGTTTGCTGTTGCTTTTGATAGCCAATACAACCTGTTACTACTCTACATTGAACAAATTCTAGAAAATTGTTCCGCTTAGCTGTAGCAATGCAAAGAGAAAATCGATGAAGAGAATCGATCATCGCGTATTCGCCCTTATGCATGCTCACTGTCGAACTGATAACACAAATTGGCATCTTTACTAAAAAAGAACAACTGTGCAAATTTTCATCAAAATCGGAGACGACAAATTAAAAAAAGAAATTAAAAAATTCGTCAATCTGTAGAGAATTGGAGGGGCCATCACAGTAGCCAACATGTTTACATCGACATCGAGTTGGGGAGAGTTGACTGTATGCCGTTTTCCGGAAAACCATTTTTCGAAATCTACCAAGTCCAATATTTTTATAAACAATGGATTCCTTCTTTAAGTAGTTTAATAATGAAGAGAACATTTTCTAATTCACTAAAGAAGGGAATATGATCAATGTTCTTAATGTCGGCCTAAGTGCATTTTTTGACCATTTGTATATTTGACGCATTGTTCCAAGAAAAAAATTTGAATATTAGATTTTTAACAATGGGCCCAATCTTAAGATTCCATTTCCATGCCTATTTCTTTCTTTGAATACGTTTATTAAAAATAGTTTTTTATATCTTCATTAAAATAATAAATGGAACTCCGGTGAATGGCTCATTCGAGGAACATTAAAATTTCGGTAAATGTATCATTCCTGAAAATGACATTCCGGGAAATGTCACTTCAGGAAATTATATGTTCTAATATAATAATTATTGATTATTCATATATTTGAATGCCTAAAGGGTGTCCACGATGAAATTGCCACACACAAAATTGATTCGCAAAATTCGAGTTTTCATCCGATTGCCATCAAATTTTCAGAGATTGAGAAATAACTATTAAACTTCATTTTACCATTTTACTCGTATTTTATTTACAGTCCATACGCAAATGCCGCACCTTGGCCTTAACCCCGGCCATAAGATTCTGCACAACCTGTGAATCAACCGTTTTTTGCATGTAAACCCATACTTTCTTCAGTTCCTCGACTGTCTTCACTACCTTAGGTCGTTTAAGAAGGTGCTGCTTCATAATCGCCCAGTACTTCTCGATGGGGCGGAGCTCCGGAGTGTTGGGAGGGTTGAACATTTTCGGCACGAAATTGACCTTATTGTCCGCATACCACTTCAGCACGTCCTTGGAGTAGTGGCATGAGGCCAAATCCGGCCAGAAGATTGTTGGGACGTTGTGGGCCTTCAGGAGAGGAAGCAGCCGCTTCTGGAGGCACTCTTTTATGTACACCTGTCCGTTAATCGTGTCCTGGGTCACGAAAGGTGCACTCCGCTTCCCGCACGTGCAGATGGCTTGCCAAACCAGGAATTTCTTCGCAAATTTGGACATCTTCTGAGTGCGGACATGCTCCGGAACGCTGAACTTATCCTTGGCCGTGAAAAACAGGTTGCCGGGGATCTGTTTGAAGTCGGCCTTCACATATGTTTCGTCGTCCATGATGCAGCATTCAACTTTCGTCAGCATGTTGAGGTACAACTTCCTGGCACGGGTTTTGGCGGACTTGTTCTGCTTCTCGTCGCGATTAGGGGCCTTTTGTACCTTGAACGTTCGAAGCCCAGCCTTAGTTTTGGCCTTCTGGACAAAACTTCGGCTTAGGTGCAGCTTCTTAGCCACATCCCTAACGGAGGCGTTCGGATTTCGGTTGAAGGCCCCAACTACGCGGTTGTGATTTTTGGTGTTGTACGGAATACTTTTTCCTTCACTTCTGGGCTTCCGATCGGTGGTCAACCGTTCCTCGAACCGCTTAATCACTCGCGACACCGTGGAATTCGTGATTCCCAATGTTTTAGCGATGGAACGATGCGAGAGATCCTTGTTCTCGTGATGAATGCGCAAGATTTTATCACGTACGAGCTGTTCTTTCGACTCCATTTCCGCGAGTTTTGATCACAGGACTTTAAAACTTGCAGGATGTAAATAATGCACTATAAACTAAATCCACACAAATTTTCATTAAATTCTACCCAACGGTTAAACAGTTAGAGTAATTTCATAGTGTGGCAATTTCATCGTGGACACCCTTTAATAGAGGTAAATTTACTGTTATTGTTGTACAATGCTAATAACACGCCAAACGACTGTATGCTAAACGACATTATGCCAAACAGGGTAGATCCCTAAAATCATATATGTAGGTGGGAAATGTAGCTGTTGTTGGTTAAAAAATCCAAACTACAATGCGGTTTTCCTCATTTTTCGAAAAGATTTTTGACTTCCAGGACTTTCTTAGCTGACAAGTTCTTTAACCTAAAACTTCATGTACACACAATAACATTAGTAGAATAACCAAGGGGTAATCAACTCTGCACATTGTGCCGAAATACATCGTGGCACAGTGATCGGCGGATCCATGGCACACGATGACAAGTATGACACAAAATATAACATAAAATGGCATCACTGTTTTGTGTTGACATTTTGTCAATCGTTTACTTCAAAGTAAGGGAGAAAGGGAATTTTTTTTGTCAGTGCCATTTTCCAGCGAAATTGTCCCCAATCATAATAAGAGATTGCATAATTGACGAGACTCTTTGTCCTTATACCTTCTGGGGGATGAACCTCTACAGAAAGTCCACACGGCGTTTGAGAGATGTCTATACTTCAGGGAAGTCAAAACGAACTAGTCAGAGTCACCACGCCCCGCAGAATAGGCCAGAATTAACTGGAATTAAGTATTAATGCGATGGCCATAGGATTCGGACCGAAGCGATAATGTATGGTGTTAACAACACCCCGGTGCCGAACGATCCTACCATTCTTCAGATGTATCTGCAATCACAGCTGTTTCTCCCGCAGAACACCCCGGTTCGATTGATGGTTCACCAATCAGACAGCCGTACAGCTCGTTCTATGGACTGAACTCGGATTCTATTGACTGTGGAGGTCTCTCTACGCTGTTTCGCAACTGTTCGTATCACCGACGGCAACAGCAACATTAAGAAAGATGCTGCTAACATAATTGTGAAGGTAACCACACCGGAGGTAACAGAGCCAATCTGAATCGCGGTCTTAATGAACGCAATCGGAACCGGCAGCAGTTTCAGAGAGATTGATATGCAATTCCGGCATGACCAAGAATAGAAAATATGAAGGAACAACAACGTAGTCATCAAACGGCTGCAACCAGTATCGAGTCAGATTAATTTAGTAGGTACCTAACCACGGCTGCTGACACTGGGAATCTATTGTAGGTCTATTGCTGCTACTACTACCGCCGGTGGGCATTTTAGGTCGAGTCATTCCTATTTTTCAGATTGTTGCATTGGAGGTAGCATGATGATATTGCAAACAAGATTCATCTTCCACTTGCCGGTGGGGTACTTGGCTTTGGAAAACGTCTGCACACGGTAGAGAACTTTCTTCTCCTGAATGGACAGCTTCTGCCATCAGTCACCCTTCTCCTTCTCGCGGAGGGGTTAATCTTCGAGTGCCACTTCCTTGAAGCGGATGACCGGTACCCAGCTCGTTGAATATTATCTTGGGATTAGGTTTCATGACTTTTTTTCCGTCCTTGACTTGAAAATGTAAACACACAATCTCAAAAGTCATAAGTGCAGGGTTGCCAAACTCATGGGTTACTGAGACTGATAGCTTGATTGCCACACTTTGGCACGTTCGGCACAACGCTTGACCTAGCTTTCGGCACAGATTGTGATGTGCAGAGTTGAACACCCCTTGAGAATAACCCTTTCTGACCATTATAAGCGTCGTTTACCAGTTACAAAAAGTTGTAAATTGTACTCCTTTTATGTGGCCTTTCAATGTTGAGCATTGAGGGACAAAGTGATATCTAAAATAATTGATGAACTTTTTTGTAGAATTATTGTATACCTTAATACGTTGGTTTTCCTTTTAATTCTACTTTATCACTTTCATTTTCACTAATTCACTATTTACTTTCACTATCACTTGAAAAAAAGAAACTATAACACATAGGGGAAATGGATGTAATGTCGGCCTAAATGCCCCTAATTTGGGCCCATACATAATTTCAGCAATCAACTAAATTTTCAATAGCGACCAAAAATATCCATTACTACCGTCCGAAAGACGCGTTCATCTAGATAAAATTGAAAAATAGCAGATTTTTAGCGATGGGCCTAATCTTAGATCCATGGCCAACATTAGAGCCATTTCCGCTACGTATTTCTTCAGTTTTTTAGTCATAGACTTAAAGTAAAAGAAGCATTACTTCTATTATTTAGACCACCTGCACCGGTTGCTATTCAGGCTGATAGTTTAACTAAATCGTTGCTCTTTTAGTTAGCAACCAGGTTAACACTTGTTATGAAGCTATATGAATGTATTTTGATTTGAGACCAGCATTTCCACTCTGCTCTGCCACGGAACGGTCGTCCGGAAGATCTGGAATATCCTTAAAAGTTTGCAGTTCGTTAAAAATATTCTAAAGCTCCACTGTTTTTTTTAATGCACTCGTTGTGTTACTGCATGAATTCGTCTGGATCTAGAACTACTGCATGCGCACTTTGCCAATTCTTTGTGGTGATGCTACATGACTGACTTTTATTTGATTTGATATTTGTTTCAATCCTATTTACTTCCATCTCGATTGTTAAATCAAGATTTAAAGTTAAATAACCATTTCACTGTTTGATACAAAACTAACAAATTGACAGTACGCTCCCACACAAAGTACCACCGAGGGGCGCTAAGACCACCTTTACTGATGTTCAGGTGGACCGTCCCGTATAGCAACCAGAGTGCACATCCTGGTCTCAAATCCAGATTCATCCAGGCAGCATCACAACAAGTTAAAAAAAAACCCGGAGCTCTAGATTATTTTTTACAAATTGACTACTTTTAACGCTTCCCTGTCCCTGGTCCCAGATTCAAACTCATTCATTTAATCATTGCAAGTGATTTTTAACAATTTTCAATTTAAAAAAAATGACATTTACTCGCGTCACCTTTCAAATAGACCAATCTACATGAATAGATTCTCTTCATCGACTCTCTCTTTCGTTAATAGCTCGGCTCCAAAAACATGGTCAGCTGTTCTTATTGTCCAATACGCTTAGTAATACTTTCTTTCAACAGGCTATATAGAAAAACTAGCACGCAATATGAATGCAGCAAAGTTCTTAACGAAAGCGAGAGTCGATGAAGAGAATCGATCAATGTAGATTGGTCTATTTGAAAAGTGACGCGAGATTTCATAAATAGCAACGTTTGGATCGGTCACCCCGCTGTTCACCGAGAGGCAGGTTGTTATTTCCCGCACTTGAATAGCAACCCCCGGTGCGGTTGCTGCATTATGGTGGAGGTTGCTAAAATAGCTTCAGCAACGCATTGGTGTGGGTGGCCTTATAAACGTGTATTAGGTAGTGTGCATATATGTATGTTAAGCGAGAATCTTTGCCAATCATCCTAGAGTCCATTAACAGTGCACATAGGGATATCTAGTTCACTTCAAGCTGAACAATGCATTAGGTCCTAAGTAACAGTGATCGATTCTCTTCATCGACTTTCTCTTTCGTTAATAGTTTGGGTACAGAACCGTTTCTTGTTGTGTTTGTCGTATTAGAAGCTAGATAATAGCTTCTTTCACCGATCTGCGTGCTGAACATAGCTGGCAGTGTCTTAACATGGCCGTGGTGATGCAAAGAGAAAGTCGACGAAGAGAATCTGGCAATGTTACTTAGGACCTAATGCATTGTTCAGCTTGACTTGTGAACAGGAGAGAGATTGAGTGTTTTTGGATGTTATTAGATAATCTACTTCACTGACGTTTGAAATCTACAGAAACCGACAAATACGAGACGAGTTATACCAAACGCTTCCAACCATTCTCATGAACATAAATCACGTATATGGTCTACGGGCAACAACCCGCTTTACACAAATATTCCTAATATGAGGGATGATTAATATCAATGCAAAACACTAACAATTCCAAAGCACGCCTTAGGAACACACGGAAATACCATCAAAAAACACCTCAGGAACACGCGAAATGCCATCTTGCTTCACAATCCCCTAAAGGGCTAGAAACCTATATTCAAACATTTAAAGTATGTCCAAAGCTGGAACTATTCAACGCTGCTTGCATACTACTTAGATACTGGATTGTCTGGTCAGTTCATGGACCTAACCCAGCGTGGCTACTGAACCGGAAAAAAGGGAGAACTAGGAATTAACCGGGAAATAAGCGAAAATTTGATTTCAGCCATAAAATATTTTTGGTTTTGCCCTTATTAACCGAACTCTAAAAATTATGTCCGATAGCTAAACAAATTAGCAATGTCCCAGAGGTTCATTTATTTATTAAGTAAAAGATCTTGGCAAGTTCATTTCAGTTAGAATCCTAAACAAAATGCTAATCCTCTGCCACTTGAGTTTTGAATATCTTCAATATCTCAAAAGTTTTTTGATATCCGGCAGTCGGAATAACTTTGTGGCACCCTAACTTTAACCGCACCCTTTTTTTCATCCACGAGATCTGACAGTTCTGGCCGACTTTGTTTTGGCTCCTATTCTTTGAAAATGTCTTCTTTTTCACGGAGAAGAAGAAAGAGCAGGTTAACTTTTTCGCATAAACTGATTTGGACTTACTTGGTAATACTACTTCGTCGGTGATAATACTATGCCTCGCCAATGATTAATGTGATTCGAAATTCCTGTCATCAGTCATACTTTCATTAATCTTAGAAATCATTATGGAGAAGTTTGCATCATACCGTCGTCCTAAATTATAGCAACCCCGCCATGAATTTTTCCCTTCCTCAATTAATCCCGCTGCATTACTGCATTCCGAACGATACCGGAAGAACTCAAGAACTTGAGAATAATATCCTTGGCTAATCCAAATGTTGCCTTTCAATCTATCCACCGTCTCTTTCTGCCTAGGTATTCATCGTCGAACGGCTACGGCAACCGGGACCACCGGGATAACGGTGGCAATGGGGGTAGTGGCAGCGGCGGTGGTGGCAACTACCGGATGCACAACAATCGCAACGGTGGCGGTCAAAATCACCATCAGCATAACAACTACCACGGCAATGGCAATGGCGGTGGTAACATGCGCTACAACAACAAGCACAACAACCACAGTGGTGGCGGTGGCGGCAGTGGTCGGGATGGCAATGGCGGTCCGAGCAGCCAGCACCAACAGAATAGGGATGGACAGAATACGCACAATTCGTCCTACCAGAACCGGGACGGTATGATGAATAGCAAGGACTTGGCGCCGCGATTCAAGCGCAACCTGATGACACCCCAGAATCCCGTCGAGGATCTACAGATGCGTCCAACGCCGAACAGCTTACTGTTCAAAACCCAGAACATGAACATGAAGACGCAGCTGCCGATCTCGCAGGCGCCTTCGTCACAGTCCGGAAAAGGAACTGGCTACAGCGCACCGCAGCTGGGAGATTTCTCATCGCCACTGACCACCCGCACGCTATTGAGTGAACAAAGGGCAGCGGCCACCGCTGGTAATGGTTCCTTTGGGTCAAACGCAACCGGTAACAACCAATCGTCGGTAGTTGCCAACAACTTCGGACCTGGATTAGGAAACAGTGCATCTGCAGGAGGACCCAACGGAAATGGTCCTACCGCTACAGGACCAGCTGGTCAGCAGAACGCTTCCAATCAATCTAGTCCTAGCCAGCAGACTCCGTTGGCCCGGAACAGTCTGAACAATCAACAGAATCTATTGAATGGCAAATCTCCATCCAACCAACCTGCTTTGGCACCTATCACTCCCATCAACAACATCCTCCAGAAGGATCAGGTAATCATCAAACAGGCTTCCGCCGAGAAGGCCGAGAAGAAGAACAAGAAAGACAAGGGCCCGAACAAGGAAGAATTTATGAAGAAGATTTCCACCTTCGCATCCGATCTGTTGCTGGACAACCTGCAGAAGCAAATCGACGAAGATAAGCAGAATGAGTCCAAACCGCCGGTGGACAAACCTGCCGAAAACGGTGCCGTCAAGGAAGTGGTAGTCGAGGTGGTCGATCAGACCCCGATCCCAACCAATCTGGACACGGTGAACGAAGCTGATCTCAACGAGGAGAAATCCGAAGACAGCGACAAGTCCTGCGCCGAAAAGGCCGACGTTGGTTCGGAAACTGAGAAAATCGAAGAGGAGGAACCGGAAGAAACCAAACAAGAGATCCTATCGCTGATGGATGAGCTGGTGCATGAGTTCTGTGAGCTCAAGATTCCGGAAAAGTTCATGCGTGACTCGATCGGCAAAATCGTCAACGAAGTCCTGGACAAGTCGGATCCATTCCACGAAAAGATGATTGAATTCCTCCAGCGGTTGCGCAAGGAAAACAAACTCTCGAACGGAGCTATGCTGGATTCCTTCAAGGCGTTGGTCAATTCGATGAACGAGAAGGAGAAGACCATCCCGAAGATCACCACCATCGTGGCATCGCTGCTCTCGCGGGCAGTTTCTGTGCGCCTGTGCAAGCTGTCCGACATTTCCAACTACACGGACAACGGTCAGCACTATCCGCTGTTCCTGCTGGTGCTGCAGCAGCTGCACAAACAGCTCGGCAAGCAAACCCTGCAGGAGATGTTCCAACAGAACAAGGTGAACCTGATGACCAGCCTGCCCGAGAGCGATCGCACCAAGGACCGGATGGCGGAAATCCTGGAGGATCGCAACTTGAGCTTCCTGTATCCGCTACTGCGAGTGCAAGCCGAACTGTGGAAGCAGATCCAGGTCGATTCCAATCCACAGCAGTTCTACAAGTGGATCAAGGAGAACGTCGAAGCCGGCTGCTACACGGATCCGGGCTTCATTACGGCCGTCATGACCGTGCTGCTGAAGTATATCATGCAGGTTGGTTTCCGTGTTCTTTTGAGAATTTAGTTCCTATATTTATGGATTTTTTTCGTTCTTACAAAACAGGAATCGACCAAGTATGACGATGAGAAACTATCGGTGGAGAAGGAGATGGAAATCCTAAGGAAGTACTGCCCGGTGCTGAATGCGTTCCTGAATGGTAACAACGAGTTGCAGCTGATTGCAATCTACGCCATGCAGGTCTACTGGTACAGCATCGATTTTCCCAAAGGTTGGTTAACTTAAAAATCTCCAACGCGCATTCACAGTCATATTCACACTTCTTTTATCCTTTTTTTCTATTCGCAGGAGTCCTGCTACGTTGGTTCCGCGAGTTCTACGAGCTGAGCGTCATTGAGGAGGATGCCTTCCTGCGCTACAAGGAAGACGTCACCGACATGTATCCGGGCAAGGGTAAGGCGCTGTTCCAGGTCAACCAGTGGCTCACCTGGCTGGCGGAAGCCGAAGATGAGGACGAAGAGGATGAGGAGTAAGGTCTTCTCAGAAAGCAAACACACACACAGAACAAAAACAACAGGACAACAGTGGGCAAGCAAGTCTCACGAACAAGCGTCGTACAAATCGACAAAACCTTAAATGAACAATGGAACATAGGTCCCAAGTTCGAGTGAATATAGGAGCGACAGGAAGTGAGGACGTGCAAGAGCGAGTTGCAAGTTTCAGTTCACAGGAAAACTATATTTTTTTTTTTATTGATTGTAAATTGTCATGGCCTTAGTTTTTTTAAAGCAAAAATCCGGATTAAATTACGGCTCCCGGAGCGAGATTTATTTTTATACATGTAAACACACGTGTGATCAATTGGGTTTATAGAGATTTTTGTTTTGTTATTGTTCTTCCGATGAAAAATGTTGCGTTTTCCTCGCCAAAATAAATCAAGCGGAGCCAAATCATGTAACTACATTCATTTTAGCAGACATTTATTCTACCCACATTTACTCACAACCTGGTGCTAGACTGCATCTATCCTGCCCATCTCCCATGTGATCTGACATCAATCTTCTTTTTTTTTGTCTAGGATCTAAGTTTACTAGGATTATTAAAAAGGGGATTCGATACGGAAAGGACATTCTAAACGCTGTCGGTAATTTAAAAAGCCTTTTGTGGGACTTACGCTTTCGCAACCATTGATTTTTCCTGATCTTCGCAAGCAAGTCTTGTTGGTGGTATCGTGGACTGCGAAAGCTGAAGATGAGGTCCATCGAACTGCCATTAAGGCTTCTCAAATCAAGATGGAGAGAGGTAGTATAGTAAAGTTGTTGCTTGTCATTTTCCTCCTTGACTTCGGATTTTCGGAGCTTAAAACTCATGGTTGGCCTGAACATAGCTGAACAATCTCGGCATCGTGTGACAATTGTCCCAACTGGCTGGGGTTCTCGCCTAGGCGTGTTTATTGAACTTCTGAAAAAACATGTCCATTGCCGAAAAAATCATTATCACGTCTTCATCTCTGAAGACAGGTAAGAAACTCTGATAGACCTTCGTTGCCATACCTGACTCACAACCTGCAGTCGCTGCTTGAGAGCTGATTATCTCTTCAATTCGTTCGGAAGCTTTTGTCAAGCCAGTAAAAGCTTTTGTCAAGCCAGTGAGCAGAGTGACTATTGGTTTTGATTAATATTGTTTTTCTCAAACCACTCTAGCAAGTTAGACACTGGAGCAGTTGTGTTTACACTGAAATTTATTTTATTATTATTTATTTATTTATTAAATTTTTTACTTTATCTTCTCCATGGAAATAGACAGTCCCCCTTATTCTGCGAGTCACGTGACTCTCTGTCACCGGTGAGGTGAGAATTGTCACCTCGTGTGAGGTGACTCTCCATTTGATTTGCACGGAGAGTCACCTCACACGAGGTGACAATTGTCACCTCACCGGTGACAGAGAGTCACGTGAATCGCAGAATAAGGGGGAGTATCGGCCGTAGGAAGACGCTTAAACGTCTCAATTTTGATGATTTTGGGCCAAAGTTTCCCCAGTAACTGGATCCGCCATGATTTAACTGATAACTTAGGAAAATTGATTCATGTATACATCTGCTACCGTAGCATGTTCTTAGCTTCATTCCCTTACTTCTACTGGTAGCTGACCCGAGCTGCCTTATGTGGCGGAAAGCCAACTCATAATTGAGTTCCTCTTCACTGAGGTATAACTGTCTAAAAGGTCTTCAACGCGACAAAATGTAACCAAATGGACAAACCTTAAAATCCCCACAAATCTAAAATATTTTACGGGCTCGTTTTGGTTGGGCACCGTTATTAGACGCTCTGCGGAGCCAGCCATTAGGCGCGCGGCGACAGCATGTCTGTGTACGAGTGGTTTCGGCTGAGCTGGTGACGTTCAAAGGTGCAATCGTGAGTAGCCATAAGTAAACTTAGATCCTAAGACAAGAAAATAAGATCGATGTCAGATCTGCGAGTCACGTGACTCTCTGTCACCGGTAGGGTGACAATTGTCACCTCGTGTGAAGTGACTCTCCATGCAATCAGGGGGAGGATATGCGTAGGGACCCGAGATTCAGACCAGCTCAGGTTGTGAGCAAATGTAGGGAGAATAAATGTCTGCTAAAATGAATGAACTTGATTTGGTTTCGTTTGATTTATTTTGGCAAGGAAAGCGAAACATTGGCGCCCAACGTGGGGCTTTCGTGAGTTGTTTTATCCACACATTGTCGGAGTGTGTGGCTGTTTCTTGTTCTAGCGTATTTGGTTTTGCTGCTAACTAATATTTTGTGTTATTCTAATGAGTTAACGAACTAAACAGCAACAGAAATGTGATCTTTAGTTAGCTTGGTCCGAGATTGTGTTGTTTGTATGGATGGGTGCTTATCTGCCAATAAGCGCCAAGCTGAGGGCAGAGACGCAGCAGTAAACTTTAATAAATAGATCAATTTGTGCAGCAGAAGAAGCAGCAGTAACAAGATAGTAGCGGAATCAATTTAGTTTTTACTCTGAGAGAAAGTGGGAGATCCAACCTAATTCCCTTGTATGAAAGTGCAATTGATGATGTCCGAATGTCCCCCGAGTGTTTGTGGCTGTAGTAGTAGCGTTTAGTTTCTTTCCGTAGGCATGAACTATGCGTATTACAATATATCGTACTGTGGCAGTAAAACAGTCCCCCTTATTCTGCGAAATTGCCACCTCACCGGTGACACAGAGTCACGTGACTCGCAGAATGAGGGGGGAGTGCAATAGATTCTTAATTTGAATATAATTTTTGTCTGCACCGTTGATTATTAATCGTTCACTAGTAACACACACTCACACATAACATGAAAAGTCACACCCGCCCTTTCCCTCTTACAATAGTCCTATGACGAGACTAGCACGTTCTAGAACGAGGTCATTTCGTCTAACAACGGAGTCTGTTTCGTTCGGTTAAACGCCACTTTCGACGAAATGAGCTTCACTACTAACAAGCACATATTACAGCAGTATGGAAAACTTACACACAGTAGAGTTAATAGCAAATCAAAGCAAAATTTATCAGACGTGTCAAATTTAATCCGTGGCAAGCATGTATAACCACGGTTGAGATACAATACATACTCACACACACTGCTGATCCTGAAAAAAAGATTAATTCACCAAACAAAAGTCTTCTTTGTGTGAGGCATTTGTTCACCAGGCTAAACAAACAGAAACGAAGACCCCCTGAACATGCTCTCGGTCAGCCATTAACGAGTTTGTTGCTAAAAGAAGACTGATTCGATCAAGAAAATCCATTCAAGATAGGCAAACAGAACAACACGAGTGAGTGCGCAGAGAGGCGAAGAAAACGTAGCACGTAGGTAGATTAAAATATGAATATCTAGCTAATTAACTAAATGGAATTCACTCCCCCCTAAAAAAATTCCCCGGAAAATCACAACAAAATCGCCAAGCAAGCACACGCCTTCCTAGAAAAAAGAAAAAGCCGGAAAACCTCACAACTTTCTCCTTCACTTAAAGATTTATTTTTTTTCGATTGTCCCAATCTCCCGTAATAGTTATCTCGAAAAAGAAACACTATCAATCTCCCTGCTGTCCAAAGTTGACGATGAAACAATAGAATCGTTCGTCGGAGAACAGCCAGAGATAATTGCAAATGATAGTGATTTCATGCAATACAAAATAGAGTTATTAGAATGGAGTATATAAATAAAATTGGATGAAATTAAACATGTAAAACCAGATCAGTTAATTTTATTTAGTGTCATTATTTCCAAACTTAATAACACACACACATACACACTGAACCATGGTAGACGAGGAGAGGAAACTTTAAGTTTTCTGAATCTTATTGTGAGAAAAAAAAAAGTACACATCGCCTATAAAATATACAGAATTTAAACCAAGGTGTAACACAGTCAAACGAAACTCAATGCTGCTAATAAACAAACCTATTTTTCCCCATCCAATTCATCACTAGTAGGACCGCAAGGAGCAAAAAAAAAGAACATTTATCCTTTGAATAAAAGAAATCAGATTGATTCGAAACTGCTCGAATGAGAAAATGATTCCCCAACACTCGTATAGTGAGAGACGTACAGACGGATGCGTGAACAAAAGCATTGAACATCATCAGATTGAACGCAAATTGTGTAACAAAAAGGCAACACAAAAGAGCAAACTTCAGCAGAATAAAAGATTAAAAAGTGAAAGAAAAACTATAGTTGAACAGACATACATACGCAGAAGATACAGTAAAAGAGACATTCAAACTGAAAAATGAGAAATTCCTACAAGAAAAAATAATAAAAAAAAAAGTTGAAAAAACATTTAAAAAAATCTAAAAAAAATAAAATCACAAATTAAAAAAAAACCTCCAAACCATAGAAAGACATCCAGCGATTATTATTGGTGGAAAAGTTGAGAAAATTCGCCTAACTTTTCAAAAGGTCCTAAGTAACAAATGTAAACAAATCGAGTTTATAAATGCACATTGTAACATTTGTACCTAAGAACATTATGCACACACACACACATTCAGATTAATGTCGATTGAATTGAGAAAATTCTAAACTAACAAAACGTCTGAAGTCCAAATTTGCATTAACGATGTTTCACTGTTACATAAGACGTTTGACTATGTTCATCAAGACAAACGTCTGAAGTATCAGAAAAACCAAAACAATGCAGATCTGTACTTCGGTCCTTTGTGATTATAAAAAAAGTTGGAAGGGTTGTATACTAGATACGACCGCAGGGTTGGCGTTGGATAACGTCTGTTATGTGTTGTACTTAATTGTGTATATTATATTTTAGGAATATTCCTTAATAACTCTTTTGCGAAAGTTTGGTGGCCCTGAAAAGGGCCGTTTTGTTGGGCTGATGTTGTTGACAATGATGGAACGGGCGACCTTGTTGGGCGCTTATATAGTAGAACAGAAAATATCAGAGGTGTCAGATACTCGCATACGTACGTTAAACTCTTTCTTGATAATGTTTTTCCAACGCGCTCGGCGTAGTTGCCCTTGCGGAGCAGACGGTGAATACGACCGACTGAGAACTGCAGCAGCTGGGCATTCGATGACGGCGGCCCAGTATACCGGAGCACTGGCACCAACGCACTCGGCGTAGTTGCCCTTTCGCCCCCAGGCTCTGCTGCCGCTGCTGTGCTGCCGTTGCTCTGCTTCCGCTGCTCTGGTACTGCTGCTCTGCTGCTCTGCTGCTGGGTCGACGATCGGATAGACAATGATGGAACGGGCGACCTTGTTGGACGCTTATATAGTAGAACAGAAAATATCAGAGGTGTCAGATACTCGCATCTGATGTCTCGGTTGGAGAAAGTATAAGAATATAAAAAAATCAATCGATTTTCACCATCTTTAGACAATGGTTTACTTTTAACCATTTTTCAATAGTTTACAGAATGAAATCAATAGTTTTGAAACATTCAGCAAATTGCTAGAAATATTTCCAATCGATTGATGCCATTATCTCCGTAAATATATCGAGAGACGGTTGAGTTATTATCGTTCAAAATCTTTTAATTTTTTGTAACGCATCCAAAATGACTGTTTTCAATTTTGTACCCCTGTATGTTGCCGAAAGACGTTATCCAAAGTAAAAAAAAAAAAAAAAAAATAAATCAGATTGACCGCCCACGGTTGCTGCTCTGTTATCCAGATCAGCTGCAATTACACAGAGAACCAACAGATGATGTTTGGGACTAACATTCATCCTCAATGTGTAAGAACTGGAGATCTAATATTTAGCAATACCAGCGCCGGCCGTGTCCGAATGCAGGTCAACTAGGGATTGGGAAGGAATGTGTTGACGTGGTACTCGCTGTGAAGGAAACCGAGAAATCCTCTGCGCTTCCACGAGAAATCACTGCGATGTGGGGAAAGGTTGCACCACGCACACGCAGGGATCGTTTTTTGGTAGAGCGATTATAATACACAAACACACACACACACACACGCGCGCACTCATCCAATTTCTATTTTTAGATCAGGACCCAAAACTGTGGTAAGTGATGCGATCGGTGTTAAAGAAGAATTTGTTTTCAATAAAATCTAGTGGGTATAGAATAAGGCAAAGTGAAAAATTGCAAGGAAGGGGACGGGCCTGGGATTGAACTCCCGACCTTCTGCTCAGTAAGCAGAAACGGTAACCACTGAGCTACCGAGCCTCGTCTTGTACTTCGGTCCTTTGTGTTTATACGAGTAAAACGTCTAAAATGTTCAAACAAACCAAAACAATGTGATTGTGCACATCGGAATTTTCATGTCAAGCATTTTTCCACTATATCCGCGTGGGGGGTTGTCAATTATCCACGGCCGCACAAATTTTAAAATTTTTGTATGGGCAATTGTCTACGCATGGGGGGGAGGGGGTGCAAGAATACCGAAAAGCTGTCTACGTAGTTAATGAACAGCCCCTAAAATAACACTGTTATCAAATAAAAAGCAGCTCACGCGACCACCAACGATCGACCAAAACAATCTGTGGGCAGTGTTGCGATATACCGTTAAAAAAAAGTTGATGCATTGTCCAATACTCATATTGTTCGTTTAACTCGTATAACTTAAATTATGCACTCATAATGCTTAAAAACAAACAAATAATGTTGAAAACATAAATGACCTATGTAACTGTGATTTCAACAAAACGTCCCATATAACATGTCCAATGTACACCTGACAAGAGCAAAATGTCCTATGTAACATTTTTCAGGTTTTCAAAGAAAAAACAATGTATGAAACGGGTAGATTATAATTTCAATTTCAATTTTACTATCGCATTTTACTATTAAAGGTCTTAAAAATGTCAAAAGTTGATTTGGTTTAAAATAGTATCAAAAAGATTTTGTCAATCCTCGTGTCAATCATCAACCTCGTTTTTCTCGAAAAGAGTGAAATGTTAGATAGGACCTTTTGAAAAGTTAGGCGAGAATTTTCTCGATAATTTTTCAGACTGCAGTGAGATGTAAACCACACTTCTGCATTGTCCACGAGCAACATCCTTTCACCGCGCTGTTCCTCGACAATTTTCAAGTTAAAATTCTGAAATTTTAGAATTTGTTTTTTCGAAAAAACGACTAAGTGCTTGTAAACAGTACCACTGAACTGTCAAAAAGGTTCAGCCGGCTAACACTGAGTTCATTCGTGACGTCACGCTGCAGAACTTAATAAGGTACTGCAGCGTGACGTCATAAATGAACTCAGTGTTAGCCGGCTGAACCTTTTTGACAGTTCAGTAGTACTGTTTACAAGCACTTACACAGCAAAAAAAGTTGTTGAATATTACATCGAAACTGCTGCAACCAGGTCAATCCATCGGTTGTGTAATATCACATTGTACGATGTACATCGATTTTGCGAACAAAATTACATCCATTGATGTAATATTGTATCTGCTTTTTGCTATTACATCATTATTTCATACATCAGCTTGAATTACGTTGATCGATATTACATTTTTTTTTGCTGCGTAGTCGTTTTTTCAAAAAAAAATATTCAAAAATTTCCGAATTTCCACTTGAAAATTGTCGAGGAACAGCGCGTAGAAAGGATGTTGCTCATGGACATTGCAGAAGTGAGGTTTACATCTCACTGCAGTCCGAAAAATTATTGAGAAAATCCACCCAAGAAAAAATCGACTAGGTCCACGTAAACAGTACCACCATAGAGGTAACTCTAAGACCACTGGGTCCCGAAGAAAATCATTATTATTTTTGGCTCACTCAGTACCAGAACAACGGTCCCAAGCAGTCCCAAGCTATTTCACTCACCCCTGCATGTTCTGCATGAATCCACACACCCCTGATGTTATCTGTCAAACTTTCATAGCGAATCAAAACAAACATAGTGTAGTAATAGAATTTCAACTAGAATAGGGTACGTTAATCGTTTGCTTGGGACCAATAGGCTACTAAAGTGGTGAGCCAATTTAAAATCGTTAGTTTCGTATTGATTGTTGGTACCACTGAACTGTCATCAGATTGAGGTTAACCCCGACGGTGCAAAACCTAATACCGCACATAGCAGGCCACGCTAGACCTGAGGTAACCTGAGATAATTCCGGAGTGATTTGAGATTTGGACGTAATTGTATTTGTAAACAAACACGTCAATCGCCAATTTATCGCGAATAAAGGCTTAATTTTGAAAACCAATAACACTATGCGGTAGAGGTATGATTCCTCTATCATTTGGTATAGTTTGTTTATAAGATTGAGCTTTTATTCACGAGAAATCGGCGATTGACCTGTTTGTTTACAAATACAATTACGCCCAAATCTCAAATCACTCCGGATATCTGATAATAAGATTAGAGTGCCTGATATCTAAATAGATCTATAGTTATAGATAAAGAGGGCCAACAAGATAATAGTCATTCCCTCGGCTTCGGGTTTGTTGCATTTACCAAAACTATGGAGAGAGAAGGTATTTATAAATATTATACGGAAGGGTTTCCGAATGAGCGTTCGGAAGAAGCTCGGCACAAGCGCATCTTGGACTCGATCAAAAGGGCAATGCCTGTCAAAATGAGCTCTGAATTGGAGCAAACGCTAATGCAAACTATTGAGAACCCGAATATATTACTGACCAACGATGTTCAGGTTTATCGAGATCACATACAGCAGAATGGACACTGTTTCGACCAGCCAGATCTGCCGAAATGCAGTGCCCGAGCAGCAAAACACCGTTGCGACGGTAATTTATTGTACGCGAAGAAGGAATACGGCAATGCCCTCAAAAAATATAACGAAAGCATCTGCTCTGCTCCAAACGATTCCGAAGAGTTGGGCATGGGATATGCAAATCGGTAAGTTAGTTACCCATCAGTGTAACAATTTGGCTTACTACAATAATTTTGCAGATCGGCAATCTTCTATAACATGGAAGATCACGTGTTGGCTCTGGCGAACATCACATTGGCTAAGAATCACAATTATCCGGAGCGACTGATGCCCAAGCTATTGGTACGGGAAGCCAATTGCAAGCAAGCGATCGACAAGCACAATCACAATCGGAAAGCATTGGGTTCGAATTTGAACCTTTTTCTATCCGATAGAATCTGCGTTCGAAAGCTTCCCATCTACGGTAACAGCTTGATGGCAAGACAGGATTTTAAAGCCGGAGATGTGATCCTTCAGGAAAAACCATTGATGGTTGCCGTCAGTGAGCAACTAATATTTATCAGATGCAACCATTGCATGTCGGGAAATCTACTACATTTGATTCCCTGTCCTAATTGTGTTTCGGCGATGTTCTGTAACGAGAACTGCCTACAAGATGGTCAGACAATGCACCGTTTCGAGTGTGACATTACTGGGGAATTGAGTAAACTAAAGGATACTTGTGTTGCATCAAGAATGTTCTTCCATGGACTGGCTCTTTTCGATGACGACGTTAACAAGATGATGGCATTTTGCCGAACAGTCAAGACAACGGAAAACACTTTTCTAGACATAGATTATTCAAACTACGACCCGCTGAAGGAGTTTGAGATATTCCTCGCGGATAAACCAGGAGAGAATTCATTATTGGACTACTCGATGCGCCTCAATGCGGCAATAGTGCATGCGTTGCTCTTGAACGTTTCCTCGGTCCGAGCTCTTATCACCAACAGAGCGCAAGAAGATTTCATGCTGCAATGTTTCGTCGAATACTTGCAAAAGGTAGTCAGTATGTCGATCCAAAGGAGTCAACATACTGGCTTCGTTAGTGTACTATACCCGATGGCATCGCTGTGTAATCATTCGTGTGATCCGAATACGCTCGCATTAGACAACGGAGGCCAGTTGAAATTGATTACCCTGCGTCCCATTCGTCGAGGTGGACACATATTCATCTCGTATGGAGCTCACTATCAGCATGGCGCTACTGAACGGCAGCTTGAGTTATCGGCGCTGGGATTTAATTGCATCTGTGACGTATGCGACGAGCAAAAGCATCAAAAGTTATTAGCAAAAGCCAGACACAGCATTGCCATCGCTCCTAAGGACTGGGCTACCATAAAACAACTGATGACCGATACTGGATTCAACAATGCAGATAGGAAGAATGCACTGCAACAGTTTGTTCAGCGATATGCTTCGATCCATCCACGGAAGGATTTCGCGTCCATCCTTCAGATGTATTGCTTTTACCTGACAGGTACATATTCCCACGAAATGGGTGCAGCAATGCGAGCAAAGATTGCTGGTTAACATAGTGGTCATTGTGTCAAATCGTTGCTTTTCTTTTACACACATTCATTTGTTTTTACCACTAAAGGATTTGTTTTAAATTTAAATCCCCCTTATTCTGCGAGTCACGTGACTCTCTGTCACTGGTGAGGTGACTCTCCATGTAAATCAAATGGAGAGTCACCTCACCGGTGAGAGAGAGTCACGTGACTCGCAGAATAGGGGGGAATATGTACCTCTGATTTTTAAATGCACCAAGGACAAATTGGATTCGGAATACAGAACCGGATACGATTCTAAACATATTTCTTTAAAAAGTCACATCACGGTCTAATCGAAATGTTTTTATCCTCGAAAATTTAACCGGGGTGTAAATTATTCCCCCTTATTCTGCGAGTCACGTGACTCTCTGTCACCGGTGAGGTGACAATTGTCACCTCGTGTGAGGTGACTCTCCATGTAAATCAAATGGAGAGTCACCTCACACGAGGTGACTATTGTCACCTCACCGGTGAAAGAGAGTCACGTGACTCGCAGAATAGGGAGGATTGTAAGTTATAGGGTCATTTTATGCAAGCCGAGTCGAGCGTCACTGGTCTATTTTGGTCTTACAGAAGTAACGCTCAACTCGATTTACATATTATAGGGCCTATATATATCTTTTAGTGTAATTTGTTTTGAAAATGCGAATAAATACAACATCCGAGTTTGGGCTGCATTCTCAATGGTTGATACAATCTTCTTATCTGTTGTCACGCAACTATGCTGTGCTATGACTGTATTATGTAAAACGCAAAACATGAAACGCATGGTTCATTTTTAAAAGCCGTTTATTGCAGAAATGCCCTTAAAATAGCAATCCCACTTTTATACACCACTGGGCTGGTTGAGCAGCAGAGGAGCTAAAAGCAACAAAAGCATTCGTTAAAAGTGGTACAACATAAATACTACCGACCGAGTGTAGCTACTTACCAATCCGGATGGCAACGCACAGTGCAACGAAGGCAAACAGATTCTGCTGGACTGCTTTCCGTACCTTGCGCTTCTCCTCGGCGGCGTCAGTCGGGGGTAATTCCATTCGAAACATGATGAATTTTTTATTCTTTATACAATTTACAGCCTAAATACAGAGAATAATTATTGTGGAATTTTCTCAAGCAATTCGATGGTAATCTTTCTTGCAAGACACAATCTGCTGAAAGGACGAACACGATTTATCAAAAGTAAAACGTCAATTGGGTTGCCTATGTGGCATATCTCGCAAACAATTTAAGGACGGTGCCTCCAAGATAAGATTTTTCGTCACTAAAAGCCTGTATACACTCAAAATTATTACTATTCAAAGAAATATTATAATTTAATCTTTTTATGGTTTACCAATGTTTATACATTGGCCAGAATAAAATATGACTTCATAATTATACTAAGGCCGAATAACGGGGAGGAATTCATTCAATGTATACCAAAGTACGCACGTCATGTCAAACTCGATGGTACCGTTCTCACTTCAAAACATTTTTTTTAATTTTTCCGGTAGGTCGTTCGATAATCTAAAGAGCAGAGTAAATTTGCTGAATTATTTAGAAATAATATGAAAAAAAAACAGTTGAATACTGTGTAACAAACATCATCATAAAAATTAATAAAATTGTTGGCCTTATTTTCAAGATTTTTACAAATTGCTGCCAATGGAGGAGGCGCCTTCGGATGAGCCCGAACAAGAAGAACCGGGACGATCAGAACTAGCGGTAAATGCATCTATACCGAAGAAAATCACTGTCAGTTCAAACACCGGAACCAGTTGAATCAGAACAGCAGGAAGTGGTTGACATTTCAATAATAAGTTCGTTCGAATTAAATTATCCTGCACCTATTGCTGCGTCCCTACCGTTGCCACTGGGAGAACTCACTAGATTGATTAGCACGATTCTGCAGCATGGATCTTGGTGTTCACGAATGTGGAACCGACACGCATGTTCAGGTAGGGTGCATAATCAATGAACTCAATATTTTTCAAATACAGGTGAATATTTTAAACTACATGAAGCGGAGACGAACCTGCGTTCGGCTGAAAGTCTCCGTAATAAAGATAACTAACTACATGGAGGAGATGTCCGTGTGAAAAGAACCGAAATCACCATAACCAGTTTCACTATTATCAGGACCGATGCACATCACTACTTCGAGGCTGTTCGTTCGTGCAACTCCAATGTAACGTTAATCTTTTCCGATAAACACCAACCAATCCGGGAACCAGATCCACAACAAGAGGAAGTCGAAGAACAGAAACTTCAGCTTGTTTATTTAGTCAGAAGTTGCTAATGGAATTGGAACTCATGCCGTCCCCGTTAGTAATCGCAAAATGTTCTTCTATATCCATTGCAGAAACTCCTACTGGAGAGTTCACGATCAATTTTACTGTTAAGCTGTTATATTTGTTTTTATTTTATGTTAAATATATTAATCTAGAGAAAACTTGATAATTTAACATAATAATACTGACATGAAAATAGAACAAAAACAATCCCCTCTTCCATATAAATCAAATGTATAAATTGCAAGAATATTCCTCCTTTATACCACAAATGAAGTGACAGACGGAGCGGCTCGAAAACTTTGGTGACTAACCTGCTGTTCTGGCAACACGGACCGTTCCGCCTCGCGATCGGCCGATGAGGCGAGAAGCGGTTTGGCCGATGAGGCGTGACAAGGTGACAGGTGAAGTAGAAGTGACAGGTGAGAAAGAGATAGAAAAAATAGTTAGAAGTTGATCGGACAGAAGTCGTGCAGGGAGAAGTAAACAAATAGAAAAGAAAGATTGAAGTTTAGTTGAAAAGTAGATTGAAATTTAGAGCGTGTTTGTTAGAAAAGGAGTGAAATTTCGGTGCGTTTTTTTTTGAGAAGGTAAAATAATTAAACGACCGCAGTTTAATACACCAGGTTAGTTCAACATACAAAAATTGAAATACATTTAGAACAAAGAATCAAATTACAGTTTTTTACGACACAAAGAGGAGGTTAGTCGATGATAGACGAATCGACAAGATAGATTGGCAGACAGGTAAAACATGCAGAAAACGTTGGGAATAAATAATATTAATGCGCTTAATTGTGTCAGGCATAGTATCGGAAGCGAGGTTGGAAAGACAAGGAAAGTTTAGAGGAGGAAAACAAACTAAAATTGTGAGTAATACTAACACTAAAACTCATGAAAATACTGTACTAACTCGAATGAATTTCTCATAAAATTGCAGTTTGATCTACCTGCAAGAAAAGGTTGATTCAAGAACGGTTTGTTTATTCGATCCGAACAGAATCAAAAATTTTATAATCGGATTACCTTCGGAATGGCTTTTCCTCCTTCCAAGGATGAGCAATGTCTGTTTTGCTCCATGTCAGAGTCGACGTCGGAGGACGTAGATTGGGTCCAATGCGGAAAGTGTGAACATTGGGCTCATTTTTCTTGCGCGGGTGTTGACCAGGAGGTAGCGAAATCCAATTGGTATTGCCCACAGTGTGTCCCAACGAGTGTTCAGCAGTTGAAGATTCCAGACGCAGGAGGCAAGAAGCGAGGTAGCAAGAAGTCCGGCCAAAAGAGCGATGGAGGGTCTGATCAGGGAGCTGGTTCCGATGTTGATCCAGTTGAAAAGCAGTTGGAAGAGGAACAGCTCGCCAAGGAGAAGGCCTTTGCGAAGCAAATGGAAGTGCGGAAGAAGTTACTCGCTCGGCAGAAGGCGTGGAACGAAGAAAAGCTGAAGCAGGAACGGGAGATGCTTGAACTGGAATCCCAGGCCCGGCGAGAAATAGAGATGCAGCAGTTGGACTACGAGCAGAGAATGTTGCAGGCTCAACTGGCTGCGGAGCAGAAGTTTTTGAAGGAACGGGAGGCAATCCGGCTGCAGGTCAACAGCAGCATCAATAGAATTAAAGCGCTGAAGGATCAATATGGCGCTATTGGTGGATCTTCGAAGGACGGTCCGGAGCAGAAAAGGCAGCCGGAGCAGAAAGGGCAGCTGGAGTTGCAGAAACAGAAGAAGATAGCCGAAAAGCCAGCGGGTACGGATTCTCGAGGAGCGTACCCGAAAAGGGAGGACCGACATGGAATGGAGTCGGGTTCTAGAAAAACCGATAAGCAGAAGAAGATGAAGGAGGTGCCTGCTAAAGATCGGGAGGCCGAATCAAGTGATGAGGGTCAAATCCGCGACTCGTCGGAAGACCGTGCGAGCAGCGACTCGTCAGAAGATTGTGGAAGCAGCGACTCGTCGGAAGATCGTGCGAGCAGCAAGCGACCTGGCAGTGTGCGTGGTAACGGAGCTGGTGACGGGTCGGGGCGAACCGGCGGTCGAATCTCGAGGGATCAGCTGGCCGCTAGAAAAGCGATTTCGCATCACCTTCCAAAATTTCGTGGAGAACCGGAAGTTTGGCCGCTGTTTATTAGCAGCTTCGAATATACGACGGAAGCATGTGGGTTCTCAAACCTGGAGAACTTGAAGCGACTGCAGGACTGTTTGCAAGGTGACGCGCTCGAAGCAGTGAGGAGTCGGCTCGTTCTGCCGAATTCCGTTCCGAACGTGATTTGTGACCTACGGAATCTATTCGGAAGGCCGGAGAAGCTGCTGAAGTCGCTGCTGACGAAAGTGAGGAACGCTCCAGCGCCGAGAGCTGATCGACTGGAGATGTTCGTTAAATTTGGGATTACGGTGAAGCAGTTGTGCGACCATCTTGAGGCTGCGCGACTCAACGATCATCTTAATAACCCGATGCTGGTACAGGAGTTGGTTGACAAGCTACCACCGAGTTACAAACTGGATTGGGTGCGGTACAAGCGAGGAAAGGAAGATAGTCCGCTGAGGATGTTCACGGATTTCATGACTGAAATAGTATCCGACGTGTCCGAGGTGACGGAGTTTTCTACGCTGTCGGTGAACGAGCGAGCGTCGCATGGGCGAGAGAATCCTAGAAAGAAGGAGTTTGTGCATATGCACGACTCTGAGCAGAAGCAGAGCGAAGAACTACGCAGAGAGGTGGTCAGCCGTCCTTGTTGGATTTGTAGGCGGACGGATCACATGATCAAGAGCTGCGGTGAGTTCAAGCGGATGAATATCGCAGAACGGCTAAAAGAAGTGGAGAAGCAGAAACTCTGCGGAGTCTGCCTTAACAAACACGGTGGAAATCGATGCTTCTCAAAGATCCGATGTATGGTGCGGAATTGCCAAGGCAACCACCATTCGCTTTTGCATCGGGTTGAAGAATCGGTGCAATTGCAGAGAGCAAAATCAGATTGCATGGTGATTTTCCGGATGATGCCGGTGACACTTCATGTTGGTAAGCGGCAGTACGACACCGTCGCCTTCCTGGACGAAGGATCGTCTGCTACGTTGGTGGATGATGGGGTGGCCAAACGGCTGAAGGCAGAAGGGACTCTCGAGCCGCTGATAGTCACGTGGACCGGAAACATCAACCGGTATGAGAACGATTCCCGTAGTGTGGAAATGATGATGTCGGCGAAGGGATCTAAGGAAAAATTTCCGCTATTCAACACACGAACGGTGTCCGAGTTGCAGCTACCGCAACAGGATGTACGGTATCATGACGTGGTGAACCGGTATTCGCATCTTACTGGAGTGCCGGTGAAAGATTTTCCGTCCGGACTGCCGATGATTCTGGTCGGTTTGGACAACCTCCATCTTTTCGCGCCGTTGGAGTCACGGGTTGGGAAACCGAACGAACCCATCGCCGTGCGGTCGAAAATGGGATGGACAATCTATGGTTCCGAGAAGCTGAAGCCTAGCGTGAAGACTTACCTGAACCTCCATTCTGTCACACCGGTAAGCAATCAAGAGCTCCATGATTTGATGCGGGAGCAGTACGTGTTGGATGAGACGGCGATTACATCGTTTGCCGTACCAGAACCGGCGGAGGAGAAGCGGGCTCGAGAGATTCTCGAAACAACAACGAAACGAATTGGCGATCGTTTCGAGACGGGTCTGCTGTGGCGAGAAGACGTGCGGTGGTTTCCTGACAGCTATCCGATGGCCATGCGAAGAATGAAAGCACTTGAACGAAATCTAGAGAAGGATCCAGCGTTGAAACGAAATGTGTGCCAACAAATTAAGGACTATCAGCTCAAGGGATACGCACATAAGATCAGCGTAGCAGAACTTGAAACACCAAGCTCGGCGGTTTGGTATCTGCCAGTAAATGTGGTGCGAAACCCAAAGAAACCTGAAAAGGTTCGCCTGGTGTGGGACGCTGCAGCATCGGTTGGAGGAGTCTCGTTGAACTCGCAGTTGTTGAAGGGGCCGGATATGTTAGTTCCTCTTCCGAAAGTTGTCAGCTGCTTTCGGGAGGGTCCGGTTGCATTTGGAGGAGACATCCAAGAAATGTATCACCAAATGAAAATCCGAGCTGAGGACAAGCAAGCGCTCCGATTTTTGTTCGGAACAGACCCAACAGGGGCACCGCAAGTGTACGTGATGGACGTGGCCACTTTTGGCGCTACGTGCTCGCCTGCTTCAGCGCAATTTGTAAAGAATCTGAACGCGGAACAATTTGCGGAAGAATTCCCTGAGGCAGCAGCAGCGATTATAAAGAAGCACTATGTGGACGATTACTACGACAGTGTGGACACCGTCGAGGAAGCGATCCAAAGAGCCAAGGAGGTGAAACACATTCACTCGAAAGGAGGATTCCACATACGTAACTGGATGTCGAACTCGGAGAAGTTTCTAGAGGAGCTTGGGGAGCGCACCGCAAACGCAGCAATTCACTTGACCCGGGATAAAGACACGGAATACGAGCGTGTACTGGGGATCGTGTGGAATATGATCGAAGACGTCTTCTGTTTCGCAAAAGATTCGAAATTAGAGCAGCTGAAAGTCCTCCGAGGAGAAGAACGTCCGACGAAGCGAATAGTACTCAGTATCGTGATGGCGCAGTTTGATCCGGTGGGTTTCCTCGCACCAGTCACCATTCTGGGAAAAATGTTAGTACAAGACCTGTGGCGGATTGGTTGCCAGTGGGATGACATCGTGGACGACGCATCGTTCAAGAAGTGGAAACGGTGGACGAACATCCTGATGGACACTCAAGCCTTCAAACTACCACGCAGCTACTTCGGCAGTGCGCGATCAGATGAGATCGATGACGTGCAGCTGCATATCTTTGCGGATGCGAGCGAGACGGCCTACGGATGCGTGGCGTTTTTCCGAGCCGTTGTACGAGGAGATGTGATGTGCGCCATGGTGACGAGTCGAGCGAAGGTAACACCATTGAAACAGCTGTCGATTCCGCGTTTGGAGCTTATGGCAGCGGTACTCGGTGTACGACTATCACAGACAGTGCGCGAAAACCATACCTTCTCCATTAGTCGAGTGGTCTTCTGGGTAGATGCGGAGGTGGTGCTATCGTGGATTCGATCCGATCAGCGCCGCTACAAGCAGTTTGTCGGTTTCCGTATCGGAGAGATCCTGAGTTCGACGAGGATTGCAGACTGGCGGTGGGTACCGACGAGATTGAACGTGGCAGACCAGCTAACGAAGTGGGGCAAGGATCCGGAAATACATCCGAACAGCTCGTGGATAAAAGGACCGCAGTTTCTGTACAGCCGTGAGGAAGAGTGGCCGAAGAAGAATCTACCGCCAGCGAACACGACGGAGGAACTCCGGGTTCATCTCCTACTGCACGATGTGAAGGTGTCAGCGAATTTGGTAGATGCAGACCGCTTCTCGAAGTGGACGGTGTTGGTTCGGACGATGGCGTGTGTATTTCGTTTCGTGTCGAACTGCAGGCGAAAGTTCAAAGGGCTGCCTATCGAGACATTGCGGGCGACGAGCGAGCAGATGAAGGTGCAAAAGTCAACCACGATGGCGAGTATTCGCATACCGTTACAGCAGAACGAATACGAACAAGCAGAGCGGTGCCTCCTAAAATTGGCGCAGTCGGAGAGTTTCATCGATGAATTGAAGGTGCTGTCGAGAAACAAGGAGCGTTCGGTGAATCAGTGGCTGCCAATCGAGAAGTCAAGTCCTCTGTATAGGCTGACTCCCATGGTCGATGAAGATGGACTGATTCGAATGGAGGGTCGTGTGGAACGAGCAGAATTTTTACCGTTTGATCTGCGATTTCCAGTGATTCTGCCGAATGACCATCGGATTACGAGATTGATAGTCCAGCACTACCACGAGAAAAGTGGCCACGGGTACCGCCAGGCGGTGAAGAACGAACTGAGGCAGCTGTACTATATTCCACACATAGATGCAGTTGTCCGGAAGGTGTCAGCGTCCTGCGTGTGGTGTAAGGTGAATCGGTGTCGTCCTGAAGTTCCAAGGATGGCCCCGCTGCCAGTACAGCGAGTCACACCGAATCTTCGAGCCTTTAGCTACGTCGGTATCGATTACCTGGGACCATTTGATGTGACCATAGGACGCAGAACGGAGAAGAGGTGGATTGCGCTGTTTACGTGCATGGTAACACGTGCCGTGCATTTGGAGGTGGCACACGGGCTGACCACTCAGTCGTGTTTGATGGCGATATACCGGTTTATGGGTCGCCGGGGCTGGCCGATTGAATTCTTTTCGGACAACGGGACGAACTTGCGAGGAGCCAGTAATGAAGTGGTGGAGGCTGTGCACGGCATTACAGACGACTGTGCAGACCAGTTAACAAACGCGAGAACGAAGTGGACGTTTAATCCTCCCGCTGCACCTCACATGGGAGGTGTTTGGGAGCGCCTGGTCCGCTCTGTGAAGGAAGCGCTGACAGCACTCGACGATGGAAGGCGACTAACGGACGAGATCTTGCAGACAGCAATCGTTGAAGCGGAGGACATCATCAATTCCCGTCCGCTCACCTACGTGTCGCAGCAGTCCAACGAAGTAGAAGCGCTCACCCCAAATCACTTCTTGAGGGGAGCGTCACCAAACCAACCAAGTGGCACTCTTCCACCTCCCCATCCTGCCGTGGCCCTTCGAGATGCGTTCCAGCGTTCGCAGCAATTGGCCAGCGTGATGTGGGAGCGGTGGATTAAGGAGTACGTGCCGTCGTTGAACCAGAGGACGAAGTGGTTCGGTGAGACACGACCATTGCGAGCAGGAGACCTGGTGTACGTCGTGGAGGGAGCAAATAGAAAGTGTTGGATCCGCGGAGTGGTGGAAGAGCCCATCGTATCCGGTGACGGTAGGATCCGTCAAGCGTGGGTGCGTACCAGCACCGGACGATACAAGCGAGCGACAGCGAAACTGGCCGTGATGGAGTTGGTTGAGGGTAACCCTGAGCCGGACGTGACCCCTCGGACAGAGTTACGGGCCGGGGAATGTTCTGGCAACACGGACCGTTCCGCCTCGCGATCGGCCGATGAGGCGAGAAGCGGTTTGGCCGATGAGGCGTGACAAGGTGACAGGTGAAGTAGAAGTGACAGGTGAGAAAGAGATAGAAAAAATAGTTAGAAGTTGATCGGACAGAAGTCGTGCAGGGAGAAGTAAACAAATAGAAAAGAAAGATTGAAGTTTAGTTGAAAAGTAGATTGAAATTTAGAGCGTGTTTGTTAGAAAAGGAGTGAAATTTCGGTGCGTTTTTTTTTGAGAAGGTAAAATAATTAAACGACCGCAGTTTAATACACCAGGTTAGTTCAACATACAAAAATTGAAATACATTTAGAACAAAGAATCAAATTACAGTTTTTTACGACACAAAGAGGAGGTTAGTCGATGATAGACGAATCGACAAGATAGATTGGCAGACAGGTAAAACATGCAGAAAACGTTGGGAATAAATAATATTAATGCGCTTAATTGTGTCAGGCATAGTATCGGAAGCGAGGTTGGAAAGACAAGGAAAGTTTAGAGGAGGAAAACAAACTAAAATTGTGAGTAATACTAACACTAAAACTCATGAAAATACTGTACTAACTCGAATGAATTTCTCATAAAATTGCAGTTTGATCTACCTGCAAGAAAAGGTTGATTCAAGAACGGTTTGTTTATTCGATCCGAACACCTGCTATTGCAATTTTTCAGTGTACCTACCACATGGCAACACTACTACACACAAAGAAAATTCGTTGCTAAAATTAAAAAAAAAACCATGGGTGAAATTGAAAGTTTTCGTTGGTTCTTTTTGGTAGAAAGCTGTTAGTTTTCAACCAACTTTCAAATCAAAAGTTTCCCGATCATTACTTTTAAAAGTTAAAAATATCAAAATGAATTGTACAACTGTCAAATGAAAAGTTTGACAGTGTTGAAATTAAGAGCGAAGAACTTTTTATTCCAAATCAAAATTTGAGGTAAAAGTCTGGTATAGTTGAAATAACATGTGTCATTTTAATTACCAAATGAAGAAAATATTTTCAATTTAAATGTAAAAGTTTTCATTTTAAATTCTGTTGAATCACCTCCACCAGAGCACAAACTTCTAAGTCACCAAGAACTGGCAACAATAACCAGGTTTCAGGATGGAAACACTATAAAAGAACAGTTAGAAAGTAGTATTTAGGGTAAATATTGTCATTTAAGTATAAATATGTTGATTATACGTACCATAATCATTAAACGGAATGATTCCCTGTGGTCGCCATCAGTTCCTATTCGTGGCTGCTCCAGATAGACTCGGTTGTACCACCACTTTCAGTTCAGGGCAAGCAAGTGGCCAGCCGGTGGCAATGTCCCTCGATTAAGTAATGATTTTCCCCGTACTCCTGGAATCCTCTTCGTAGCCATAACCTTTCACTGGGCTGAGCGACTGTATCAAAATTCCCAGTCGCTACATCGAATGGCTTTCACCTAATGGTTTCCTCCTTCTGCTTCAACTTTTTCGACAGCATTCTATTGCTCGGCAAAGGATTCCATACTACACGAGTTTGGAAGTATGCGGACATCTTTTTCCGAGCAATAAAAGTCCGGATCGGGACACTTTTCGCGATAATAATCCCTTATCAACAAATAGTTGAAAATTTTGCCATTTTCACCACCTGCTTTTTCTAAACTCACGTTATTATTAACCTACCCAGGAATGAGTAGAAATCTCTCCACGAAGAAGGTGTTTTGACAGTTCAACAATATTCGATTTGAAAATATGCACATTTAAAACTACAAGTTAAAATCAAAACATTTACTTTTGGTTTGAAAAAAACCTTGGCGTATTAAATATTTTCATAGTTAGAACAACAAATTTTTGAATACTTTTAAATTAAAAGTACAATATTTTTACCAATACAATTTCCGTTTTTTGTGTGTACTGGATTGAACTAGCATTTTCACCAAATGTACTAGAATGTTTTGGTTCTATCTCTTTCACTCTACTCAAAACTGAAATGCATAAAAAAATGACAAAATGATACGCACTCTTTGCACACTGTCAAAGAATCATTGTACACAAAATCAACTTTGTGCAAAACCAAAACAAAAATACTATCCCATCTGGTGGATGATGGCACAAGCTTCTAAGAAAATTCTATTACAGCGAACCACATTATTTTAATTGATTTCTTCGCCAGTTAGTCGTCTGTCACTTCGTTCGTGTTAGTAGTGTTGCCATGTGGTGCAATCCAGTAGTAGTGGTGTTGCCATGTGGTGTGTGTGTGTGTGTGTACAATCTAACCCCCACTGTCCGGCAGCGTTATTATGGAAGAAAACTGCTTTTTATTACCCTTAAATTAAAGCAGGTTTAGTCCGGGAGTTAGAAGGTGTTAGCTCTATTGCAGCTCCAGTGACCCATTTCAGAATGCCTGGTAATTCACGACCACTCCGAGGTCACTTTTACTTACAATAAGCCCCGCATGTTCACTCTAACTTTATCAAAGGGTTAATGGTATCATAAACACACTTCCAGATTCAAAAAATATTATTTCCAAATCTGGCACGTATATAGTTTTGAAATTTGTTCAACTGTGTTAAATCGATTTGAAAGAACATTTATTACCAATTTTGTTTCGAATACCTCTTGATTCATCTGCTGGCAGCACTTACTGGCCCTTACCGGCGACCAACTCGTCTGCCCGCAAAAGCAACAACACCTAAATCTCAAAGCTCTCCGGACGTCCCCTCGAAAATGCAATTGAGATATGTATAAGAACAATCTTCAACTGGAACGTACTCACCAAATCAATACATCCGGGAGCACATTCCCGACGCTTATTTTTCTCTCGCATGCCCGTCGTCGTCGAACGGCAAAAAAAAGGGAACTCGGTGAGCAATTTTGTGATACGGAATTTTCACTGAACATAAACCGCGAATTTACGAATTTCACCACTCCCAACTGCAAAACACGTTCAAAAGCACTTTTGGTACACTTTCGATCAATTTCTTTCGAAAACACAAAAAAAAAGTTGCAATCGAGCCAACATCAACATCGATTGTGCCGAACTCATTCACGCATTATAAACTGAAATTAAAAATTATCACTAATTTCTGGTCCGGGAGAAAATCAAATAACGCAGATTGCGACATCTCTTCTGATGCTTGCAAACATGTTGAATCACGTTTTCTTTCGTAGTGGTGTTGCCATGTGGTACACTGAAAAAATGCAATAGCAGGTGCGTCACCAAAGTTTTCGAGCCGCTCCGTCTGTCACTTCGTTTGTGCTTTCACGCTACTCTAAACTCAAACTCTAAACTCTACTCATAAAAAAATGACAAAATGATACGCTCTTTGCACAATGTCAAAGATCATATTGCACACAAAATCAACTATGTTCAAATCAAAACAAAAATTTTAGCCCATCTGGTGGCTGATGGCACAAGCTTCTAAGAAAATTCTATTACAGCAAACCACATTATTTTAATTGATTTCTTCGCCAGTTAGTCGTCTGTCACTTCGTTTGTGGTTATACCAACAATCAATACGAAACTAACGATTTTAAATTGGCTCATTGCTTGACTAGCCTATTGGTCCCAAGCAAATCGATTAACGTATCCCATTCTAGTCAAAATTCTAGTGCTACACAATGTTTGTTTTGATTCACTATGAAAATTTGACAGATAAAATGAGGGGTTATTGGATTTTCCTATGTTTCGAGGGGTGATTCGACTAGCTTGGGACCGAAGAGAGTACCAGAGGTGAGCCAAAAAGTTGAGCACGTTTCTTAGGGACCTACTTGTCTTAGAGTTACCTCTATGGTTATACCAAGCACTTGTTCGAACATTTTTCAGGTTCTATAATTGTTTGTGTCTCCCAGAATCTCCGTTTTCGACATAAAATTTTTCACTTCTGAATGAAAGTCATTCGATACTAAAGCAAAAAATCTGGTTGTCGTTTACTGCCCATAATCGCATATCCGTCCCATATAGATAGGAAATCAAGCAAATATGCGATTATGGGCAGTTAAGTGTATCTGTCAAATTAAGACAAATCGACAGTGAGCATGCATAAGGGCGAATACGCGATGATCGATTCTCTTCATCGATTTTCTCTTTGCATTGCTACAGCTAAGCGAAACAATTTTCTAGAATTTGTTCAATGCAGAGTAGTCACAGGTTGTATTGGCTATCAAAATCAACAGCAAACGCACCGATAAACGTTAAATCTAGCGAGTTATTAACGAAAGAGAACATCGACGAAGAGAATCGATCATCGCGTATAGGCCCTTATGCATGCTCACTGTCGAAATATTTGTCTCGTGTAGAGTCAGTGTATAATGAGTCACGCCAAGAGTGAAGCCAAGTCTACCTATTGAACTGTCAAACCAGCTACCTATCGTGCAAAGTAAACAAACATTACGATGCTATGAAAGGTCCACGAAAGGTATTGCAATAAAATATAAAATATAATCGAAGAAATGATAATAAACACCCAGTGAGCATTCAATTGTCATGGGATACGTTTGGTAATGATCAGTAATGAGAATTTCTACTATTTTTGTTAAGATAATTTGACAAAATCACTGATATAATGATTTACTACAAAAACAGAGAAAAACAGTTGAACTCGCATCACGGTATTCGAAAGATTCCATTTCTTTTCACTTGGCAACAGAGGACTGCTACATCAACTTCAAATGACTTCCAGCGAGCAAAAAAAATAGCGGCTGTTGTAAATCATTATATCATTGATTTTGTCCAATCATCTCAACAAAAAGTAGTAGAAATTCTCATTAATGATCGCTACCAAACGTATCCCATGACAATTTAATGATCACTGCGTGTTTATGATCATTTCTTCGATTATATTTTAAATTTTATTGCAATACCTTTCGTGGACCTTTCATAGCATCGTAATGTTTGTTTACTTTGCACGATAGGTAGCCGGTTTGACAGTTCAATAGGTAGACTTGGCTTCACTCTTGGCGTGACTCATTATACACCGACTCTAGGTTTACCAATGTTTATACACGGTAACCAGCGTAAACACATAAATGAGTAAAAAAATACACATTTATTATATTTATATGAAGCTGTCAAAAAATGTGTAAATTTGAAGATCTTAAAATGTGTAAAAAAATACACATTTTAAGAATGTAGTACCAGTCAAAAAATGTGTATTTTTATACTCATTAATGGGTAAAAAAAACTATAAACTTTGCTATATCCTGCCTTGTTTACGCACGCCATTTATTTATATTTCAGTGAAGTACAACAGGAAAATGGAGGAACTACGGTCCAAGCTGCACAGTGCAACGATGGACATACTAGAGGGTAGGTGATTCATACGATTTTCATAGTTAAGTTTTAGAAAAAAAAATCATAAGCAATCACCGAGGCAATCACCCATATTCTTGTTTTCGTTCGAACCGTATTTTCCATAAAAAAAAGGTTTTTGAACACCACTGTGTTGAGTACTTGGCACTGATGAAGTCTGCAAGTACACAGAAAAAAAATTTGTTGAATATTACATCCAAACTGCTGCAACCAGGTCAATCCATCGGTTGTGTAATATAACGTTGTACGATGTACATCGATTTTGCGAACAAAATTACATCCTTTGATGTAATATTGTATCTGCTTTTTGCTATTACATCATTATTTTATACATCAGCTTGAATTACATTGATCGACATTACGTTTTTTTGCTGTGTAGTAGACGAAATACGCGTATCTGTCAAAAGATAAGCAATTTTAACGGAATTTAAAGGAAATAAACCAACCCACTCAAAGCTCTTCATACCTCTTGTTGTTCAGCGTTCAGCATACGATGCACTTGGTGTTGACGGCACCGTCCAAAAAATTGTCTCTTATAGAAAACATTGACAGTTTCTTATGGAATTTTTTGGTGGAGTAAAAGGATAGTACCATAGAGGTAACTCTAAGACTAGAAGGTCCCGAAATAACGTGCTCAACTTTTTGGCTCAGCTCTGGTACTCTCTTCGGTCCCAAGCTAATCGATTCACCCCTCGAAACATAGGAAATACCAATAACCCCTCATTTTATCTGTCAAACTTTCATAGCTAATCAAAACAAACTTTGCGTTGTACTAGAATTTTGACTAGAATGGGATACGTTAACCGTTTGCTTGGGACCAATAGGCTAGTCAAGTAGTGAGCCAATTTAAAATCGTTAGTTTCGTATTGATTGTTGATAGTACGAAGTCCGCCTTGTTTCACGCACAGTCTAACGTTTGCTTATGGATTTTACCATAGGAGTAAAGGCCCAAGCGCAATGACAGCGGAAGTGGAACAGCAGCGGCAATGGAAAAGCCCGATCTGAGTAAGCCTACTTGTCGGATTGAAAACTAGTTAGAACCAAATCGACATCGATTAGGCTTCTTGGTGTAATTTGTGACAACTGTCAAACTTTCCGTTTCCGTCCACATTGCGTTTGGGCCTTAAAGAGCTACAGAGTCGCCGTCAACGCCAATTCATCTCAGTGTAGGGATACAAAAAGTGGTTAAATTTTAAGCTATGATGACTATATTAATGTTTCCGTGTACTTGGGGATCAATAACGTTAGCATCTGTCATAAAAATATCGTTTTGTTCCTTGCATGAATGTGTACGTGCATTATTTTCAGTTTTTGAAGAGAAATCGGCACAACAAACAACGCACACACTCGCTATTGGCGACTGCGAAGCTTCTGTAACTCTTTACTCCTCTCGGGAAATCAAATAAACAAACGCCAGTCTGTGGGTGAAACTGGTGGCTTATTTCTTTTTCGGTCACTCCTACGAAAAATCTCATAAGGAAGTGTCAGTGGTGCTTGAAATGCCATGTCCGCCATGTTTCGTAACGCAAATTCTTGACTGTGTGCGAGCGAAATTACAACCGCATGACTTTGCATCAAACACACGACAAAAGAAGTTATGCGTGAGGTGAGTGAGCGAAATCCTTCCTATTCGTTCTCGCGGTGATAGTTTTGTCGTGCGTACGTCTTGGCTGAAATTCGCAGTGAAAATTGGTCCCAAATTGACCACTCCGGAAGGCTTCCGACCCGGTACGATTTAGCTTCCGTTGGTAAGTTGAATGTTGTGCGAAAGTGAACATGAAAATTTGCTACTGATAAAGGAAGCGGAATATCGAATCTCGCAACTTCAACCGTGATGACAGCAGATTGATCGTTTTTTATGCTCGTGTTTTATGCTCATTGTGTGAAGGAGAGAAGGAGAGGGGAACAACACACTGCTGTCTGGTGTGAGTGGAAGCGTTTTCTGTTTTGACTTTTGATGTTGCTATTATCGTCAGTACGAGGAAGTGTCAATTTTTTTCTGGAGTAATCATTGTGCAAAAGAAGGGAAGATCAATCTGTTTTCGAAATTTCCAATATTTTGGACGTGTTTTGCTGGAACCTGCGGTCGTAATTGCGACTAATAGGGTCTGAAATCCACCCAGGTAAGTTGCTATAGTTTAAATTTTGATTAAAACAATGCTTTAAGCTGGGATTGCTCGTTGGTGCAAAGAACAGACGTAGTGTAAATTGTACCGTTTTGAAACATATTTTTTTTTATTTGGAAACATTGAAGTTTAATAAATAATAACGTTAAATTCATTTTCTTTGAACAACATTTTAAGACTTATTACGAGGTTAAAATTCATTCTCGTTATTTATTCCCTCAGGCGAATAGAATTCTCTATAGTCACGGTGTCTGACGATGAGAAAGAAAAGATACATACAGAGAACACTATGGTGCGAATCGATTCAGAGTAAATATGATGAATCGTTGTAATTTTGCTCTTGTATAGAAGAAGTATTAGATATTAAGCTCTGCACGAATCGAATCAGCAGATTATCTTGCGACTACATATCAGGACAATATATATGTAGGTACATATATTTTGAACAGTTGAACGTTATTTAACCGATTTTGTTTAATAAATCCCTGTCAGAAAACTATATGAACTGTTGGCAACTCAATTTCATGGATATAAACTACCTGTTACTAAATTTTCAAGCCTTGAGGTCTTTTTTTTCTTGCTAAAGAATAGATGTTTATATTTTTCTTGTTTACTTGAATATTGTTATATTGCGTATTGCGTACATTTTAAGTGTGGAAACGCTAATAAAAGTGCGGTTTTATGTTAAATCGTTTTGATCTCTTCCTTGGCTCATCACGAAAAAAGTGTTAGAAGATCTGGGGTAGTCGTTAACATTCATATCTCTTACGCCAAAGTCACGAGTTCAAATCTCACCCCGGACAAGTCACCAATGGCACAAGAGTGTTTAAGTAACAACAACTTAAAAGAACACTATTAGTAGATTCCGATTCAGCACGTTGCAGTTTCATGTTTAAACCTGATCTTGACATGTTTACCATAGGGATCCCTAGTAACAATGTTGGTTTTCTGAGGCTTCTGTAGACCATGGTTAAGGCTTGTAGAATGCTTTAAAACCACAAAAAATTTAAAATGTTACTGTAGTCAAAATACGTATGTATCCGTCATGGATTAAAAATACTGAGCAAAAATGAACGGAAAATAATAACCTTTTTTGCTCTCAATAGTGCACCATTTGTGCAAGATCTGAAAAGAAGTTTTTTATGTCTGTGTAGTGGTAAACTTTGCATAATTCTTTGTTATGCTACACGGCCAATCATACCTACTCAGCGACTGAGAATAATTGACTCAGAGAATTTCCTTTCCATACGAAATTTACTCAGATTTGGAAGAAACTGCAGTTACTCATAAGCTATGAGTAACTACAGTTTCTTCCCAATCTGAGTAAATTTCGTATGGAAAGAAAATTCTCTGAGTCAATTATTCTCAGTCGCTGAGTTGGTATGATTGGCCGTGTAAATTCGGCCATTTTGGATCTTGTAAAAATGCCAAAATGACGTCTTTAGCATTTTTCAAAAACTTGTAGCACTGACTTGTGATCGAAATGACGTCTGAGACAAAGTTGTAGAGATTTTTTTTTTGTTTTTCTCAGAAAAATAACAAAACACGTTTTCAGTAATTCAAGTAAAAATTGAAAAAAAATGTTAAAAATCAAAATATCTTGATATTGCCCGTGTTTCGGCCAACCAATAAGCATTCAACCTGAAACGAATTAAAATGATTAATTTCTTAATACTAAAAAATCTATCTAGAATTAGTCTTACTACCAAGCGACTGCAGCAGCAGAAAATTAGATTTGTTTTGATTCTGCTGAGTTGACAGCAACAATATATGCTCCACAATAGTAGTAGTAGTTTAGTATTAGTAAAATAAGATGAATATCGACTGAGTTACATGGGTTAACAATGAGTTCACACTCGGTCAAACACTCAAAACTTGCATGCAAGTTATTAGAAAAGGAAAGAAGACAAGTTTAGATGTGTGCATTAAATTGGCAGTTGAAGAAGAGCACATGTAAATGGATTATAATTGTGCTTAAATTAGGGGACAGATGAAGGTTGAAAAACAACTTAAATTTGTACAATAGCTTAAAAAGCCACAAAGGCTTCCATATGAACCCTTGAGGAGAGAAATGATATAAAAACGGACCAGGATTGCAATATAAGATCAGTTTACAAACTATCTCCAAAAGTGAAATACACTGGAGTCGCTTTTTACGCGGGTGATACGTCCCGCGTAAAAAAAAACCGCGTAAAAAAAAACCGCGTAAAAAAAAACCGCGTAAATTCCGGAATCCGCGTAAAAAAAAACCGCGTGAATTCCGAAATCCGCGTAAAAAAAACCGAGTAAAAAAAGACCGTGTAAGAAAAAACCGCGTAAAAAGCGATATACCGCGTAAATTCTGAAAACCGCGTAAAAAAAACCAAAATCCGCGTAAAAAAAAACCGCGTAAATTCCGGAATCCGCGTAAAAAAAAACCGCGTAAATTCCGGAATCCGCGTAAAAAAAAACCGCGTAAAAAAACCGTGTAAAAAAAAACCGCGTAAAAAGCGACTCCAGTGTATATCTTTCAAACCGTCAATCAACGCGTTATTTCTTAACATCGAACCATAATCCAGTACCAGTGAACCATTACCGTAGTCTACTGAGTTGTATTCAAGTCAGTGTACCGACGTTGCAAGGTGAACATAAAAAGTTAACCTTTACCGCCCAGAGACCTAAAATTATACGTTGCAAGGTTACTGCGATAACAGCCCGATTTTTTAAATTTAATTTAAAAAAAATAAGAAAACTGCTTATTAGGTAACTTGAAACAAAAATCAAAATTATGGACACTTAAAAATTGACAAAAAATTGTAAAACAAGAACTTTTGGTGAAATTTTTAAACATTTTGTTAAAAGGTTTTTTCACGTAATTTATGCTCATAAAACAATGTTTGGGGCATTGTAAATCATTTTCTGTGAAAACATTATTGGCCATTGAACCAGGAAAACCGGAAGAACCTGGAGTCAACCGGGAAATAACCGCGAATTTGATTGGAACTAATGGTACATACCCTTTTTGCGAAGACTAAATACCAAGAAGACTGGCAACACTTTCATTATCTGATACCATCGCTTTGAGACAGCCACAATTGCATCATATGTCGCTCAAAGGTAAATGCTTCGAGCGAATTTGATAGCAAAGATTACAACCTCAGAAGAAATGTGTATGTATTTGCTCATTTTTCTATGCGTTGCTTCCACCTTCGTCCAAGTGCAGCGCTACTGTATCTGTCCCTTGGATTCTGGCAAAGTTGCCGGCTTTACTCCCCTTCCGATGAAAGGCGTGATCAGAGATTTTATACCTCAGAAAATCACGGTGGCGCCGGACTGGGATTGAATCCAGGTCTTTTAATTATGTCTCTTAAGATTTTCAATCCAGCGCCATAATCTTTGAACGTTTTTTTAAGACCAGGGGCCTCATTGAGAAGGTCGAAACGAAACATCTACGAAAAGCTGACGGCATGCCAGTCCCTTGGTTCTGAGGAATTTTAGATTTCATGCAAAGCCTGAGATAGTTTTGAGTAAAATTTCAAGAAAACCCTGAATTGAATTCAAAGTAAATTTTTAGGAAAATTCGTCGGATAATCAGGGGAGCAGATTTCCTATGAACTTCAGTGAAAAATTCTAAAGACATAAGGATATATTCATGAAGTTTGTGGGAGAAAACGAATCCGGAGTCCTTGGACATTTTTGGAGTATACTTAGGAAGTGAAGGGGATGCTAAAAAGAGGTTTGCAATTAAAATATGATAGGAGATCGTCAAAGAAATTCGGAAATGGAGTGAGTAGAATTCCAAGCGAAGGAGTGAAATTTAAAAGGAAATCTACTGTCTTACTGAGGAGAATTTCCAAGGAAAATTTAAAGAAAATTGTATTCGGAAGATAGTTTCAACAAAATGTTGAGGAATATTTCAATAGAATTGAGAAAAGTATTCTAAGCATATGCTGGTGATATTTTCAGAGAATTGGGAGAAGCGTTCCAAGTGAAATACTACAATAATTTCATGAGAATTTCGGGAGAATACAAAGCGAATGGTGAGGAGAACTCCAAGTGAGGTTTTATGAGGAATTTCCGTTGAATATGGAATGGACTATTCTGAGGACTTAAAAACTACTTCAAAGTTCCCAAAATTTTCCTGAAGTTAATGAAACTCCTTTGAAGTTATTTTGTAGTTTAAGAAACAAGCCTGATGCTCATAATACTTCTCATCAAAAATTTAAACTTCTATCATTCTGGACTGCTCAACCTCAGCGGCCTTTTTTCCGACATCGAGCCATATGTGCAGCGCCCTGAGTCGTCTTTCCAGTCTTTCTTTAACTTTCACTTGATAATTGCCCAATACTTTTCGATTGGGCGGAATTGCGGGCAGCTAGGTGATTTGATATCCTTGTCGACGAATTCCCGGCTGTAGTGGCAACTTGCCAAATCTGGCCAGCACTTCACTGAACTTTTGTGAGCCTTAATGAAAGGTAGTATACATTTCTCCGGGCACTCTTGCTTATACAGCGTCGAGTCCATCGTTTTGTTGGTGACGAAAAGCTTGGTTTTGAGTCCGCAACTGCAAATTTCTTGCCAGATCATCAGTTTCCGGGCAAATTCATCAACTTTTTCGCGATATTTCGAATTTACCTCATCGGGTTTTCGACGTGGGTGTGCAGGATCAATTTTCCTTTCTTGTATTCCATCTAGTAAAACTTTTTTTTAATACTGCGCGTATCGAGATAAAACTTTCACCACTGAAGCACGTGTACTTCGTTGTCATTCCAAATCCGTCCTCTAGAGGCGCTGCTGTATAATAAATAAAGTATCCGAATTCTAAAGAGCCACCCACATTAGATCCGGAGCTGACGCGTTGCGGCAAAGTGACAGCAAACGGATCTAATGTGGGTGGCCAAACTTGGTGAACTTCTGAACTTATGTGAAGACCTCAGTAATTTCAACAATAATCAAAGTTCTCTGACAATCTGGGAGCTTCTTAAAATTTCCCGTTAGTTTTCTGAAACTAAAGGGTG